GATGAGGACTCCACCACTGGAGGGGGTTGCTGGGCAGTCTCTGCCTAGGCTGGACAACCCCTCCCATGAAGAAATTTCCCCTGTATCCAGACTAAACCTTTTCTGGCACAATTTGAGGTTGTTCCCTCTTGTCCTGTCACTTGTTCCCTGGAAGCAGAACCCAGTCCCCCCCATACTGTATGGAAACAGTCCCAGGAGTGTTGCAAAATCCTCATCATTGAAGATGCAACTCATTTGTGAGCACAGGGACTCCTCCCTATCTCCCTCTTCCCAGAGAGTGCAGCTGAAGGTAAGCCCTGTCCATGTGGATCCATTCCTTCAGGTGTTGGTTGCTGACTGCAGGCCCCTGTTTCCCTTCAAGAGCCTGCAGTGGGGTTTGTACTGACTGAACAAACCAACCCTTATCCACCAGAGCAACCCAGTGCTGTGGTCATGACACTGCCCTGCACGTAGCTGAGTGACAGTCCCTTTCCAGGAGCAGCTGAAAGCCCCCGGAAGGTTGTCTTACTGTGGGTTTCAGTTGCAGCATAAAGATAACAAGAAGAAATCCTCCATGTCCAGCAAGATCAGATGCTGTTGTCTGTGTCCTCTGGAGATGCTGAGTTTATTAAATTCTCCTCCAGTGACAAGTGTGATATCAATCAGTACTCTAGGATTGGATCCTACAAAGCTTGTACCTGGGGGGAATTTCTATGAAGATGTCAACAAAACAAGCAGGATTATGGTTGTTATGTTACTTCTGTGGTGCTTACACACTGTGCATAAGGGGCATACTGAAAGAGATTTGATTGAATTATGTTAACATAGAATTTTTGGGGTACTTTTTTTTCATCATTATATCTGAATGTCTCTTTTACAGAGAAATTTACCTGTTGGAATAGGACAAAGAGTAGATGTTGTTATAAATTTAAAAAAAGGATCAATTTACATTAGATATTAGGGGGAAACTCTTCCCTGTGAGGGTGGGGCCCTGGCACAGGGTGCTCAGTCAAAGGCTAGACTGGATGGAGCTTGGAGCAGCCTGGGATAGTGGAAGGTGTCCCTGTTCCATGGAGGAACTGGTGTTTAAGTTCCCTCCCAACCCAGACCATTCTAAGATTCTATTGCCATGATGCTTTATTTGGAGGGAGGAGTTCCTCTGAATCTGCAAATCTGATGAAAACTGTTTTCTGTTTTGACTTGTTAAAAACAGGATAAAACATGGGCTGGTGTTGACAACGCTGGTGTTTTCAGACAGGATCAGAGGCAGCTCCAGCTGGGATATTCCCATTCCAGAGGGCAGAGCAGCATCCACACCATGTCCAGAGCCAGAGCATGGCCCTGAACCCACACTCCATGTGCAGTGGGACCTGTCTGATAACAAAGCCCTGAGGCTTTAGGATTAATTTTCCCAAGATTTATTAAATTATAGCACTGGGAAGTATTTGCTTGTATCCAATAACTTTATGCAGTTAAAAAGGAGGGAATCTGGAGAAGCCTGCCTGGCCTCGTGCTCCCTGCCACTGCAGGGTACTGGGAAGGGGTAGCTGTCAGAGTTTGTTTGGGTCTGAGCAAATTTTCACAAGCTGGGAGAAAAGTTTTCCCATTTCTTGGGGAGAGGAAAGCAAAACAAGTACAGCCAGTGACTTTGGGAATCTCATTTCATTTCTGAGTCTAGGGAATCGTTACTAACCTAATTTACTTTGAGATTGGGTTTTCTAAGGTGTGACTCTTATGTGACCAGCTTTATTTTTTCCATCCTGCTGGGGGTTCCTGCTCTGTCCTCTCTACGATATTTTCCCTGTGTGTGGAAGTGTTTTATGCAATAACCCTCTCTGCTTTGGGGTCTGCAGCCTGTGCAGTGACCAGTCTGTGAAGGAGTTTGTGACCAGCCTCAAAAAGAAAATAAATGATGCGGGGTGCAGGGGGCTGGGACAGGGACACAGTAGGATTTACCCTGGGAATTAGCTGTCTGTGTGGCACTGCTTGCAGCCCGATGAGTGGTAGGAAGTGTGGGAATTCTGGGCCTTGGAAGCTTACATACCCTTCAAAGCATGCTGGTATACAGGAAAAGCTCAGCAGGGACCCCAGACCTGGGAGGCTCCCAATGTCCAAGCCATGTTTACCTGCTGGGAAAGATCCCATTGTCATGGCCAGCAGTGGGATAAACTTTCCTCAAGGAATTTCCTTCAAAGGAACTTGGAGAGTCCCATTTCCCCCCTTTGGCCGCTTCCCATGTCCCACCTGGCAGCCAGCAAGTGAGGAGTGGCCCTGAGCCTGTCCTTGTCCCTTCACCATCGTGGCTTTCCTTGGACACAGGGTGAGGCCATCCCAGTGCCCAGCATCGTGTCCTGCTGCCCCAGCTGGCTCCAGCGGGATCCGTGTGGGGTTGGCAGTGCTGCCATAGCTGTGCTACATGCCACCTGTCACCTGGATGTCACACACGAGGTTCCATTCATAATGACATGATGGTTCAGTTTAAAACAGAGGCATCACTTTTCACATGGAATATTCTCCTCTTACCTGCAAGCAGAGCTCCTTTTGGCCCCGAATATTTGTTACTTCCTTAAGATCCTGATATGTTTCCTTGTTGAATTGCCTGCTTACCTGTGCCTCAGTGCCTCCTTGGAGCAGGGCTGTCACCAGGAGCTCTCCCAACACCCAGCAGGAGTCAGAGCTGTTCCAGTGGCTCCCTGGTTCTGCAGGGCAGAGCTCGGTCATGGGGTGGAGGGGTGAGCAAGAAGCCTCCTGGTTTTTTTTTGTTTTTTTTTTAACCCATCCTCTCTGCCAAACGGCCTATTTTCTGCCCCCAATGGTTTCTGCCTAACAAATGGTGTTTCTTTTTTACAGCGTTATGATCCTGGACTTGTTGTGGTGATGGTAAACTTAGCAGTGGTAATTTTTTATTTTCAGACTGAATTACTCCTTTTGTCATCAGTGCACCAATGTTAGGCTTACTTTCTCTGTTGTAGCCATCATCCTTCTGCTTGGTCTTTCATTTTCCTTTCCTTTCCTTTCTTTATGCACACTTGTCTGATCCTTGTTCATTAAAGGGTATTGCTAAGAAGGGATGTTTCTGTTTGTGTTAGAACTGCCAAAATCAGTTTAAACATAAATTTTTAATACTGTCCAAACTTGATTTTTTTTTTCCCCCCAACACGATGGGCACTAGCACTTGCTACTGCAATTTCCAAATAGATTTTGAATTTAAAAAAAAACAACCCAAAAAACTTTGACTGCCTTAGAAGGCAAAAGTACTGATGCATTGTTTGTATACAGGGGTTTACCAGGGCAATGAGGCTGCATCAAAAGATCTCAATTGCTGGAGAAACAAAACAAAAATGAACCAAAAATTCCCAAAACCAAATCAAACCAAACAAAAAAAAGAAAAGCTTGAAAAAAAAATTGAGAAATAAATTGTTGGCACTTGGTGCCAGCCATTCCATTTGGGTTCACCATTTACCAGTAAATCCCTGGCTGAGACGTTATGAAAGTCATACTGCACCTAGGAAGTCATTTTTATAACCTGTCTTTAATTTGGTCCTTTTGCTAAAAATTGCAGTCACTGCTTACTGTATTATACCATTGGGCATAAGAGAAACTTTGTCAAAGATGATTAAATACCCAAAGGAAAGCTCAATCCAAACCATTTCAGATCAATGTGATCACTACTTTTGGAACTGATGGATACCTGCCCATCAGATTCCTGGACATAGCAACAAAACCATCAAGCAATTAATTAAATGGATTTATTTCTGAATAAAACCACATGTCTGTACTTTAAGCTTCAAAAGCCCCTCTGGGGCTGCGTTTTTGGCAGGAATTATGGCTGATGCTGGCAAAAAGTTCACACCTGTCCAGGTTTTCTGAGGCAGTTGTAAAGACTTTAACCTTTTGTACATGTGGATGGCAGTGGAATATTTCTGCTTGATGCCAACCTGTCTGTCTTTTAGCCCAAAGGTATAATACCTGTGTATGTGTGTATAACAAAAGAGTTGTTTACACCAAACAAGAAGGCAAATAAGGAAAGTAAACATTCTGTTTTTTCACTCAAGGTTTGCACTGGAGAAGGTAAGTACTTTGTCAGTGGGTTACATCACAACCACCAGTGCCAGTTGTGATGTAAAAATCAAAATAATGATAATTGAAAATCAAAAAAAAAAAAAAAAAAGCTGTGGTAGTAAAGTGCTTGTCTGCCCCATTTTGCTTTGTTTGGCTGGTTATGAGTGGATTAAAGATATGTTTAAAAAAAAAAAATCTCCAGCATAGTTTGATTAGTTCAAAGTCAATTTTCTTCGCAACCAGTCCTTTTCACAGCTTACAGGTGACACGGCGGGGCCAGAGCATCGCTCCGGGGCTGCGGGAGCAGGGACCAACCCCGGCCTGCACCGGCTGGTTGGGATGAGGGAAGTTTGGCTTCTGTGCCATCCTTCGCCTTAGCATTCCTGACTCCTGGGGAGGGCAAACGCTGGTGGGAGGGAGGCTTCCACATCCCTTACGGGGAAGTTCTAATCGATTATTCATGAGCTGCAAGAGTGAAATGTGATTAGCAGCTTCTTCACTCTTAAGGGAGGATGAGGAGCCTGATGTGGAAGCCTTGAGGAGAAGGCTCAAGTCCTGTTATCAGCCCTGCCCCAGGGCTGGTCATGGGGGGAACATTAACTACGAGAAGCTTTTACATGAGCAGTTAATGTTCAGAAAATGCATTTCTCATCCTGGGTGCCATTCGGAGCTGGGCGCAGGGTTGGCTGTAAGCTGTGAGAATGGCTCGTGTTTGGTTCACTGTAGCTTTCTGGTCTCTGCACTCCAAGGCAAGATCTCTAACCACCCAAACCCAATGTGTACAGTGAGCTGTGGTTCTGGGCTTATGCTGACCCCTCTCTGTGTGTTCCTCTTCCAGGGAGGACAGATCCCATCCCTATTGTGGTCAAGTATGATGTCATGGGCATGGGCCGGATGGAGATGGAGGTGAGCTCCCCTCACCCCTGCGGGGCTTCTGGGGAATGGGTGCCAAAGGCATTTGAAAGTGAGTTTGTGCATCCAAGGTAAAGAACAACTTGCTCTTGAAGCACTGCAGTAAGAAAACACTTGTTTGCAAAATGCATCCTCTGTTTATCCCTGTGAGCCTCAGTTCTGGGGTGTAGATGCTTCCCAAAATATCTGGGCTCTGAGATTTCCCCTCCCCAAAGCTGCCATGGGCCTGCCAGGGCCCTCCACATCAGAGGGATTAATGACCTATTTTACACTTGAGGTGACAAAACAGGGAAAGCAAAGTACAAATTGCATAGATTCTGTTTCAGTTAAACTTGTTTAGTTGTGGTTTCTGATAGATTGGATAGTGCAATGTATTTATGGGCCAAATTGCATTTCTTCTCTCTTTTTTTTTTTTTTTTTTTAAACAGCTCGACTACGCCGAGGATGCCACAGAGCGGAGGCGAGTGCTGGAAGTGGAGAAGGAAGACACCGAGGAGCTGAGGCAGAAGTACAAGGTACAGAGACAGGGGCATCAACATCACAGTGTCTGTGGGCTGGTTGAGAAAAGATCTGTTCTGATGGGGCTGAGTTCTCCTCGTTCTGCTGCAGTGATGGGGTAGAATAGAAGTTCACTGTTCTTGGGTTTGGTTATTGTGGGGACGATTTCTATTTTAACACACTGGTTATTCACTTCCTGGTATGAACCTTCCTGTTTGTTTAGCTGCTGAAGAGCCCCAGGACAACAGTGGGGATTTTTCTGTGTGCTTTGCTCCATTTCTGGAAGGAACAGTCCTGGGCCGAGTAGGACATTTCCTTCCCTACACCCAGGGCTGCCAGATTTTGGAGTAAGCCTGCCATGTCAGGACAAAACCTGCAGCGGTAGAGGGGCAGTTACCAGCTGGGAGGGGAGGAGCTCTTGTGTTGTACTGGGTGAGGAGTGAGCAGTACGTTGTGATGTTACTGCATAAATCCTGCTTGCTTTGGAAAGGTAGGACATGGCTCCAGCTTGGAGAAATCAATGGGCTGGAGGTCTTTGGAAGAATTGTTCAGGCAGCATTAAGAAAAAGGACAAATTCTGTATTTCTGTGGGATTTACAAAACCTATGGGCTTATTTTTAAGCCAAGGGCTGATAAAAATGAGCTGTGGTGTTGGGATTGAGCGTGACGTGCAGGAGCATTCTTGGATTAGCTGTAACCAGGTTCTCTGTGGAGACACAGTCTCTGCTCATCCTTTAATCCACTCTTCTGCTTCCCAGCCCCTGCAGTCCATCAGCTCTTAGGAAAGCCTGCCTGTTCAATTGTCTGCAGATTTGGGGAGTACCAGGGTTGAGAAAGAGCCCAAGACATCCAAATGAAGTGTCAGTCTTGCATAAATTTTAATTATTTGAGAAATAATGGGAAAGTAGTTTCACTGCCATTAAAATTAAACATAACCTCGGCAAATCTAAAATTCCATTTCCCCACTTGAACAGTTAATTCTTCAGGCAGTTTGTTCAGCTATGAAAATTTATAGCCTCCTTTCCTTTCCTTTCCTTTTTTTTTTTTTTTTTTTTTTTTATTCTTGAGACCTTGACTTGCTTGGTAAGTGATCTGCAGGTGTTTGGGTACCCAGAGGGGCTGTGGACTCCCCATCCCTGGGAAAGTTGTATGGGGCTTGGAGAAACCTGTTGTAGTGGGAGGTGTCCCTTCCCATCCCAGGGAGTGGGGCTGGGTGAGCTTGAAGGTCCCTCCCAGCCAAAACCATTTTGTGATCCTGGAGTTCTTGGGATTTACTGTTACCTTTCCAAACACAGCCCAGCCTGTGTTGCTCTGAGATGCTTTTCTCTTCCTACCCTCATCCAGCACAGGTTTTTTCAGGAGCTCTGGAGCAGTAGCAGTCTCTCCCAGCTCCAGTGGGTTTTTATTAGCTCAGTTCATCCTTAGCCCCTTGCATTTTGGTATTAATGTGTGAAAAATCTCTGCAGCTGTTACTTTTTGCTGCTCCACAGGAGCCCATTATGTAACTGCCAATGGCAGTGCATCCTGATCAGCCATTCAGGGAGCCTCAGAGGAATTTCTGATAACTCTGCAGCCAGAAATGTTTTTTCAGTTCCCTTCTTTTGTATAGGTTCTGATCACTCAAATGGCTGGATTTCATTGTTTAGCCACAGGATGCTTGCTCAGAAAAATCCTACACACGGCACAGGAAGCTTGTCTGGGATTCAGAGGAACTTTAAACGTCCGTGTTCTGTGGAGCTCACGCTGCTCTGTTTTCCTTTCTTGTCTTCCTGGGGACCTGCTTCAGGCTCAAAACTCCAGATTTGTTGATTTTTTTTTTTTTTCTTTTTTTTCTTTCTTTCTTAACAAGGGCATCTGGTAATAGATGGAAGAAGGAAGTTGCTTCCTTTTTTTATGTAGAAGTGAACAATGCTTTAAATTGAAAACAATCCCAAACATGAACACTAACATTTTTTATTAGATTTTTTTTCCTCACCTCGGGTATTGAAATTTTTTATATAAAACACACTCAGTAATGTTATTTTAATGCCATTTTGATGTGGTAACTAGAAGATAAACCATATTGTCTTGAACAAGATCTGAAATTCAAAAGAAAAACCTTTCAGAGTTTTCTGTCTTAAATGTTTGCTGCCTCCTCATGCTGAGGAAGGAAGCTTCCCATATGAAGTTTATACTGAAGATGGAAAGAAAGATCCTTAAGTCCTTTTTCTCTAATGTTAGGCTGTTTTTTTTTATATAATTTCTCTTTATTCCAGTTGAAATGCCTGTGGTCAGTGGTTATGTGGGGAGTGCTGCAGTGAGTACAGTGAGCTTTGTGATGCAGCATTTTTAGCTGATTTTGAGTAAAAGCTTCCACCTCCTCAGGGTAAACCTCCTCCAGAGAGCTCATGAAAAGTGGTGATGTTTTATTAATTCTGCTGGTGGGGATGTAATTGATAGAGCCTGGCAAGAGGGAACAGCTGCTTAGCCCTGAGGTTCCTGTGTCCCAGCACCAGGTGCATCTCAGAGGCCCCCCAGATCTGCAGCAGCCCTGGGGACAGCACAGGCTCCTTCCACACCTGGATTTCCAGGCAGTGCAGCCACCTGAGAGACTGGGATTTCCCCTGTCCCAGAGCCTGGTGCATATCCAAAAGCTGTAGCAAAAGAGGGAAGGATGTGGCTGTTGCCAGGTGAGACACCTCATTTCTGCCTGGAGGTTTGATTTTCTACCCTCTCAGTACTCTAAGGCTGTCTCCCTCCCCTGTCCTTTAAATGCAGCTCCTTGTGCCCACTGCAGAGTGGGCACTGTGCTGAGCCCAGCCTGAGGGACAGTTCTGCTCCTGGGAATATTTCACTGCAGTGGATTCAGCAGGCTCTGAAGGGTAATTCCCAGCCAGAGCCATGTTTCTCCCTCCTGAATTCAGGCAGCCAAACCAAGATCAAGCAGACATCTCTTAGCACTCAAAATGGAGCAGTGTCAGCTTTAGAGTTGTAAGGTTCTATTCCAAAGGCAGGGATCCTCCTAGGTTTGATGCCAGTGTGTCTCTGGGTTAGCTCAAGGCTTTGAACCTCTCCATGGAGCACAGAGAATCCAGGAGGCTTCCCTGAGGCAGAGCTGCCTTCCCCTATCAGCACTGCAGGCCTTGTTTTAAGCAGTCTCCTTTTAGTGATACTTCTGCTATGACCAGAGGGTGTTGAGTCCTTGTGGACTCAATGCAGAATATTCTGTGATTCTGGGTAACAAATAGAGCCGAGGCCAGCATTGTGAAGTTCTGGAATCCCACCTGTGAATTTGCAAAGGCTGCTCAGCTTAATAAACTGGGTTCAGAAAGGCCACGTTCTGGGACCTGCATTTGGGTCACAGCAACCCCATGGGGATGTTTCAGATGGGGGTAAAGTGACTGGAAAGCTGGACAGGACCTGGAGGTGCTGGTCAGCAGCAGCTGGACATGAGCCCAGGTGTGCCCAGGTGGGCAAGCGGCCAGTGGCACCTGGGCTGTCCCAGGACTGAGGAGGCAGCAGGACCAGGGCAGTGACTGTCCCCTGAGCTGGCACTGCTGAGGGACCTCAAGTGCTGTGTCCAGTTCTGGGCACCTCATGATAAGAAGGACACTGAGGGGCTGGAGGTGCCCAGAGAAGGGAACGGAGCTGGGAAGGGGCTGGAGTCCCAGGAGGGGCTGAGGAAGCTGGGAAGGGGCTCAGCCTGGAGAAAAGGAGGCTCAGGGGGGCCCTTGTGGCTCTGCACAACTCCCTGACAGGAGGGGCAGGGAGGGGGGGTCGGGCTCTGCTCCAGGGAATGGGGACAGGAGAGGGAATGGCCTCAGGCTGGGCCAGGGGAGGCTCAGGGTGGAAATCAGGAAGAATTTCCTGGAAAGGGTGGTCAGGCCTTGGCAGGGGCTGCCCAGGGAGGTTTGGAATGCCCATCCCTGGAGGTGTCCAAGGAAGGCCTGGACATGGCACTGAGTCTCTGGGCTGGGAACAAGGTGAGCATTAGGCACGAGTTGGACCCAGTGATCTTGGAGGTGTTTTCCAACCACAGTGATCCTGTAATAAATATAATCAATGTGCACTAAGTTTTTATTAAGCACTGTTTTTCCTTAAAGGACTAACCCTTCATCTTCCAGCCTGTTCTACAGGACACCTAACAGAAGCATTTTTTTGTTAATTTTTCAGGATTATGTTGATAAAGAAAAGGCCATTGCCAAGGCTTTGGAAGACCTCAGAGCAAACTTCTACTGTGAACTCTGTGACAAGCAGTATCAGAAACACCAAGAGTTTGACAACCACATCAACTCTTATGACCATGCTCACAAGCAGGTAATAAATTGTATACAGCACAGTTCATCAGTTTGATGTTCATTGTGGTGGTCTTGTTTGTGGTTAACTGGAGTTTCCCTGGTGTATCTGTTTTCCTTACTGGTCCAGGAATAGGTGTTTTATGTCACTGGCTAAGATTTTTATGCCCATCATTCATTTAAGAACACAAAACAGCAAAAGATCCCCAAGCTCTGCTCCATGGTTGGCATCAAGGAGCCCCTGAAAGACCCAGGGTCAGGAATGTGCTGGTTTTAAACTGGGGAGAGTACATGTGGGGGTGAATGGCTCCCAGCTTGCTTTTAGCATTAGTACAGCTTTGGGAGTGATGATTCCCCATGTGTGAGCATTTCACTACCTGAGTCTGTCTTGTGTGGAGTTACTGAAAACAGAGTAGGAAATAATGGGCTGTGTCCAAGCAATCCTAAGAAAGGAGCACTTCCCATATTATGTAATTCTCAGGGTTCAGAGTCTCTGTGGAGCTGGCTTTTTTCCCAAGGTAGGGATGTACTGTAGTGTCTGCAGGGTGCTTCATGCTGCACAGTAAGTAATGGAAGTTCTTGTGTTAGCCTGATCTGTTTGACCATTTAAGCTGTTAAATGAGATGTAACTGCACAGCAAATAGAAGTGTTGGGCTCCTCCAGGGCTGGAAGGGCTCAGAGGAGAGGTTTGACGTTCCTAGTCATAAATTCTAACAACACAATCATCAAAATGCTGGTAACTCAAGGAGGATGTGCTGTAGAGCTTGCAAAATAGCAGTAAAAACAGCTTAAAAACAAGAATGTGGCTTTGGAGGATGATTTTTCTGTGTATGTATTAAGTGCAGGATATGACAGAGAATCTGCTTTGAACTAAGGGCGTCTTGCCAGGAATTCTCATGGCAGGGCAGTTGGGCTGTGTAAAGAAGAGTGGTTTGGTAGAATCAAGAGCAGAAATTCATTTATTCCCTTGGTTATGGGGCAGAGGGGTGGTTTTGGCCGAGCTCAGTGGTGACACCTGAGAGCAGAGAACGTCCTTGGAAGGTCTCCATCAGTTTGGCTGAAACCCGAGTGCAGTGACCTGCTTTTATCTGGGAGGTGGCAGGACCTGTTTGTGTCACATTCTTGGTGTGCTGGTGCCGTGGGATTCCGTGAACTGCTCCAGCCCTTGGTGACTGATGGGGCACTGAGCGAGCCTGGCCAGGCACAGAGTTCCTCCTGCAGCTGGAGATGCTGTGCAAGAGGAAACCAACCTGTGGAAAGCAATAAAAGGAGTCATCAGCAGGAGTGGCTTGAGAGGAAAATGTCTTGTGCACACACTGGGTGGGATCATCTCATCAGGAGAAAGAATTTGGAGGTTGCTTGGTACTGCTGATTATTTTGAGAGGAATTATATTCTTGGATAATTCCATCCATTGCAGCCACTTCAAGCAGGCTTTGGAGAAAATGAGCTTCCAAACTCTGGCTGCATCACCCAGCATTAATTTCTAGTTACAGAGGGATTTAAACAAAGAAGCAATCATGCTTTGCTTAGGGAAAAAATTGCTTGTCCAGCTTTGTCGGGCTGAAATGTTTGTGACCCCGCTGGGTCAGCGTTCAGGGAGTGAACTTGAAACCCCCCAGACAGAATGAGGGAGAATTTGCATAAGTAACATTATCTCACTGCTGTGCTCCCTCCTGCTCCAGGGAGGCTCATCTCCAGCAGTCCAATCGAAATTTTAAAAGAGTTTAAAAAAAAGAAAAAAGCTGTGTTTTTGATATGTTGCACGTTGATGTTTTATAGTTTGTCTCTTTGGACAAGAAGGCGAGATTGCAAAAAGGTGAGCCTGAAGTTTTTGAGGAAAAACATGAACTTTTCCTAAAAGTAGGCCATCAGTTGGCTTTCTTGGGAAGAAAGGCCATTACAGTATCTTAGTTACAGCAACCCAGCTTGGTATAAATCATCTGCAAGATTTAGTTGTCTCAGTGGTAGTTTTTGAGACAACAGAGCTAATTTTTGCCTTCTTCTTGGCTCAGTTTCCACAGCATTTTTGCTTTTAAGTATTTTTAGTTCCACATCCCCCCTGACGTTGAAGTGTTTGGTTATCCCTCTGTGGCTCAGCAAGCATTAGGCTGTCCCTGTAAATAGATGTTCCATCCTCAGATCCCTTTCCACTCCCGAGTTATAAAGACACTGTCTTGTATTCCAGGAAGGAACTCAGGATTATTGCCCAACAGGGATGATAGGTAAGTGTATTGATCCCAACCGGATGAATTTTGGACCCACCAAAATTGTGTCAACACCAAACAATTAAAGGGGAGGTTTATTCTCTTTATTTCCTGCCTGTCCTGGTTTCACAGACCATTTGGCTACATCTGAATCAATCTCAACACCAAGTTTTTCCAAAAGGCAGCAAAGACAACCTGGGAAAAGATCCTTGCATTTGTTCTCCCAAACCATTGGCATGTTTTAGCCATTGTGCTGGAGATGTGCAGTGTTGTTCTGGAGCTGTTTTAATTAGGTTGATACTTGAGATGACAAGTGCAGCTGTCTTAAGGACCAGTCACCCTCTGGTCAGCACATGGCCTGTCCCACTCAGGGGACTGAAAGCAGCTGGAGTGGGTGCAGATGGCCCTGCAGGAGGGACAATAAGCTCAGTTCACATACCCTTCAGTGAGCAACTGGAAAAGGCTGCATCTCATAATTTCTTGTACAGCTGCTGATGTCTTCAGCAGTGTTTTTTTAGCTGTAGGATTTTGATCCCTTTTGAGCCTTCTGTGAAGGGCCCCACTTCTTGATGGTGCCCAGTCCTGACAGTCAACAGAGTAATAATTGATAGTTAACAGACAAAGGTGGCAAATGTAGAAAAAAAATTTCTACAACTAAGAAGGAGCTTAAATGGTGAAGATGGTCTCAGTGTATATCTCTGGAAGTGTTCAGGGCCAGGTTGGACAGGACTTGGAGCAACCTGGGATAGTGTGGTGTCCCTGTCCATGGCAAGGGATGGAACAAGGTAATCTTTAGGATCTTTTCTAAGCCAAACCAGTCTGTGATTCTGTGATATTTGTGCTGCTTTCCTGTGGATCCAAAATGTCCTGATCCTTGGGAGCTCGCACAGTCCTAGAGCACTCTGGACTTAGTGAGAATGTGTTCTTAAGGCATTGCACCTGTGAGGGCTCCTTATTTGGTTTGGGGTTTAAGATATTAAATCCATTAAGATAAAGAGCTTGTGTTAGATTTGTGTGAAGAAGAGTGTGAGCCCCTTATCTGGGTTGTGCACAGTCTGTGTGTTGCTATCAAATAAACCTGGATGTGCAGGGCCCAGCACCTGGAGCAGCCTGCAAGAGTTGTGGTTGGAATTATCTTGTGTGTCAGTTATGTAGCATTTACAGTCAGCTTTTACTGTGGGGGGGTTTTAACAATCCAAGAACTTGGAGAGTCTCCCACCATCACTTGGGTCTGCTCACGTGCCTGTTGAGGGCTCGAGCTGTTTACTGAGTCACTGACCCAACAGAATGAAAACATTCCCCTTCTGCATTCCCTGTGAAAAACAAACATGTTCCTGAGTGAACCTGTGCCAGGTTCCCTGGGAGAACACAAACCAGCATTTAAATGCAGGCTTTTATGTAGCTGTTTTTTTCCCCTAAGTGTATGGTGTTTTGGAGGTGTAGGTGATTAATTCTGCCTAGATTCTCTTTGTGAAAGGACAAAGGGAATGTATTCCATAAAGAAGTTCTTTGGGAAAGAGGGTGGAACTCAAAACTGAAAGTATAGATGAGCAGTTCTCTTTGTGCTCTAATTAGCTGCATCTTTGCTTCTCATGCCGAGGGATCTGTTCAAGCACAATAAAATTATCAAGACAGTCACTGCTGGAGTTGAGGAATACTCTGAATGCAAACCCTGAACTTTGTGTTTTGGGGAGACTTGAGATTTCTAAAACCTTGGGCCTCCAAGCACAGCTCGAATGGAAAAGACTGAGGAGGGAATCTCTGAGGTATTTGTGTTACATGGGAGATTCTTCTCCTCCAGAATTGCTTTGCCCTCAGAAAACCCACCAGTAAACAATAAAGGGGCTACAAGAGAACTGGAGAGGGACTTTGGACAAGGGCATGGAATGATAAAACAAAGGTGAATGGATTTAACTGAAAAGGGAGTAGGTTTGGGTTAGAGATGATGAGGAAATTCTCCCCAGTGAGGGTGCCGAGGCCCTGGCACAGGGTGCCCAGAGAAGCTGTGGTTACCCCTGGATCCCTGGAAGTGCCCAAGATCAGGTTGGACGGGGCTTGCAGCACTCTAGGATAGTGTAAGGTGTCCCTGCCCATGGCAGTGGGTGGGAGCTTTAAGGTCCCTTCCAACCCAACCCATTCTGTCTTTTTCTTAACCCAGCTAAGACAAATACTCATTCCTTCTAGGGAGGAAATTAAGATGAAATAAAACAGCATTTGCAGGCCATTTCCCCTGTGTTCCTTTCACTTCATTTATAAGCATGCAAAGAATGTTGATGACCAATGATAAGCCAGGCTTGTGTTCTCACTTCAGTAAAATGATCAAGGTTGCCATCCTTTGAGCTTGTATTTAATGGTGTCATTCACTCCCAGAAGCTTTTGGGGCAAAGAATCAGGCAGACATCAAAAGTTCAGAAAGCCAGAAATTCTGCTGGCACAGAATGAAAAGTACATTATTATTATTTTATTTAATGTGAGTTGGCAGAGAGACACGAGAACAATGGCAAGGGGGGAGGGGGCTCTAATGCCATGGGAGCTGCCTCCTGCCTTGAGCCCCAGAGGTGGATCTGCTCTGACCCATCTCAGTATGAGGTTTGCCATGAAAGTCTCACATCTTAAGGTCTGGTGACAGTGTGACAGTGCTTTTGTCTTGTGAGGATTTCTGCTTGGCACTTCTAGGCAAAGAACGTCTCTCAGTGGGCCTCAGTTCAGTGATGCTGTGTGGCTTTGTCACATTAAATGGAGAAAATCCGTTTACTGCTGGTCCTGAGCCTGTAAAGCTCTGATCCTAGCTGGGTACTGAGGAGGTCTTACCTGTACTATCTCATCAGCCAAATCTGGGGTGTGCTGGCTTTTGTCATTGCCCCGAGACTGCCGGAGCTCCAGGAGTGCTTGGACAACTCTCCCAGGGGTGCACAGGGTGGGATTGTTGGTGTGTCTGTGCAGGGCTTGAATTGGATGATCCTTGGGGATTCCTTCCTACTTAGGCCATTCTATGATGATCCAGTGGTTTCCCTGTTGCAACAGTTCCTGACTCCTGCTTGTCCCCCTGGATTTCCCCACTTTGCTGTGCCTGGGATGGACTCTCAGGAGCTTTTCAGCAGTGCTGTAGTGCAGCTGGTTTAAGTTGATCTGTGAGAATTTGAAGGTACTGGTGGTGTTTGCCAGTTTGGCCCTTCCTGAGCCATGCAGGGATTGGGAGATAATCCAGCACTGTGGCCTCTTTGTGCTGCAGTCTAGAGGTAGCTGCAGATTTGATACCAAAGCTGCTCTTTAGGAGCTCCATTTGCACTCCGGTGGAAATGCGGAGACGAGTTTGGAATTTTGTTAGAAACAAGGCTGGAAACTTAAAATACAGTTCTTTGTTCCAAAGCTGAGGGGGGTGGCAGCTATTAATAAACCCCAGGAAGGCTGGAGGTAGTGAACTACTGCCTACAGCATGTGGAAATTTGGAGAAATTTTATGTAAGTGCTCATGATTTGTGTCACTGCTGGTCGCTGCAGTGTGGCCCTTCTGACAGCTGAAGTAATAAACCAGCAGAATATTCCTTGGTTTTATGGTCCCCATCATCCTGCAGTTCGAAAAGACGTTGCTGCTTAGATGAACCGCTGCCTCAGAAAACACACTGCCCATGGAGGAAAAAATGCCCCTTAATTTTGAAATCCAGTAGTAGCATGAAACATGTGTTTGATTTAATACAGGTTTGATGGCTGTAATCCTGTTGAAAAAGTCATTGTCTTGCTAAGCATAGTGGGAAGACTTAAAAAGGGAGGATTCACCCCAAAAGTATGAGTTACCAGGGCTCCCTGTGGAGCATAGAAGCTCCCTGAGAATGGTTGAGTGGCTGTGTTAAATCCTTGTTGGAATTTCTCTGTGGTGCTGGGGAAGGGGCAGTTCTGTGCCCCTCCAGCCTCCCCTCACACCCACACATATGGCGTGGTCCAAAAAGTCATTTATAGGTTTTTGGGGGGATTAGAATAATGAACACCCTCCTCAGGATTAGATGGAAATTTCTTTAGTGTAAGCTGAGTTTAAATATCTGTTTAATTCAAATCATTTCCTGGGCAGGCTGAGACCTGGAAGTGTGTGAGCAACATTTCAGTGCTCCACATGATCCCTTCACTCAGTGAAATTTGTACTTCAGGCGTTGGATTGCTCCTTCCCAGTCAGGACTGGGGAGCAGGGTGGGCATGGCTGTAGTGAGCTGGTTATCCACTCTCTGAGGGTATGAATCACTGGATTCACTAATATATTTGAATTAATGAATGAGGGGAGAGTTACAGGTTATTTTGAAAAGTTTTGGGTATTTTTCATTCCTGCAGCAGGTAGTTACAGATGAGCAGTGTGGGCTCCTGTTTTCCCCCCCTTTCCCTCCCCCAGGATGCATTTAGGGAAGATAATGCAGTTCAGCCAGGTCTCTTGCAAAGCTGGAGTAGTTTCTGATGATAGGTGTGTTGGTTTAGGTCAGTCAAAGAAGCCGAGCTATGTTCTGTTCCATATTTTACGTTTCCAAGGAGCTGGCACAGTGCATTTGTGAGCTTTTCTATCCTGTACTTCCCCAGCAAGACTTCCTCCTGACTCCTGTGTGATAAAAAGAAACTCAGCCTTGAGATCTCTTGGTACTTTGAAAAACAGACCAACTCTTCCCCAATTCTGGAAGTACCAAATTCTCAGCATTCTTGACACCAGGGCCAGTGGTTTGTCAGCCTAAAGGGCCCATGTTTGGGTGCAGCTGGGAGTTGCTGTGGTGCATATTCCAGAGTTACAGTACTTTGGGGTAGTTCATTTGCTTCACACCTCTAAATTTTAAGTGTTGAGAGTGGGAGGTTTGGGGGAGCAGAGACACACAAAAGTCAGCATTTAATAATGGGCATTTAATTCTGTTTGCATTCAAATTGCCATGTACTGGGGGCAGCTGCATCAGTCTCAACAGCTCTGAGCCCAAGCCGTGTCCTGGGGGATGATCAGGACCACGCCTGAGTGCACAGGGGGCTCTGAGTGCACCATTGCACCTTCCTCTTGAGAGGGAAAGGTCACAGTTCATGTCTGGTGTAAATAGCTGGGTCATACTTTTTTCCAAATGGATGAGTGATCTCGAGACTTGGCATCAGCCACCATTAAATAGTTTTGTCAGCTGTTGGTGGCTGTAACTTCCCAGAGCATTTCAGACACACTTTCAAAATCAGCATGAAAAAGCTGATAGCATTGCTCAGTGCATCTATTTTATTTTTTTTTCCTTCCTCTTGGAAAAAAATTTACTCTTCAATATTTAACATACACCACAAAACCCTTGAGCCCTTTACTTGTCCTGGTGAAAGTAGCTCTGCTGTTCCAGGTGGGATCATTGCTGTGTCTGTGCGTGTCCGTGTGTGTCCCCCTGCTCCAGACCCTGGCTCGGTCCTGTGGCTCTGCTGGCTCTGCTCTTGCTCCATAGAATAGCTGGCACACTCCCCCACAGCTCTCTAGTAATGCTTGCTTGGTTGTTTTTTTTTTCTCTTCCACTCTTGTTATATTTTTACTTTCTTTTTTTCTTTGTGATGTGACGTTTTCAGCTGATGTATTGAAAGCAAACCCTTCTAATTTGGGAGTCCAGATCACAAGAGTGAGTTTCTTTCTACTGGTGTCTGTAGTTGTATCTTTTTTGTGTGTCGTCCACTCTGATTTTGGTAACAATCAACCACATTTAGTAGATACAATTAGGTAAGAGAATCCTCTGTCTTGTCCTATCTCCCCCTTTTTCACAAAGCAATGTTCTCTTTACATTGGGCCAGCTTAATTCCCCTAATTTGTGCTTTGGGTTGGTTTCCAGATCACTGTTTCTGTGTGTGGCAGTCTGATGCTGCTCCAGCAAAGAGGCAGAGTCAGCCAGCCAGAAGTATTTAGAATTCACCAGTGATTTGTACATCCTGTACAAGAATTGTTCCAAAGTGACTCTTGCTCTGAGTCCCGGTAGTCTCCCAGGCCCTGCATGAAACGCCTGAAAAACATGAAACTTTTTCCAAAAGCTGAGAACAGGATGCGTTCTGGAACTGGGCCCTTTGAAAGGGTTTTGAATTGTGCACTAAAAAAGAACAATGAGTCCCTTTAGGATGGTAGAGGTCTGTCTTTGTTGCTTTCTGTTACTTAAACTTCTGTAGAGCACTCTAAAAAATGTTGTGAATATCCACATATATTCCAAGAAAAACCAGCAGGCTCTTTTTCTGGTGCTCTGAGACAAGGGCTTCCCAAAATGTTCTGAAGTCTTGGATGTTTATTTTCTATTAGAATTGGCTATCTAGACTTCCTCAGTGATATTAGGATGTTTGAAATTCCTCGGGATTTGGTTTGCTCTCTCATGATAAGATTTCTGGGGAACTTGGTGCTTCTGCCCCCCAAAGTATTCAACCCCAAGAGACCCTCCTGCCTTTAGAGCAGTTTGTTTCTTGACCCTCTCAGAACTGCTGTCAGGAAAATAAGTAACTGGTTGTGGTGTATGTTGTATTCTGGATTTGCTTACAAAATCATTTGCTTGGGATTTTTGGCTCCTTCTCCAATGTAATGGTACATTGCTTTTGTCAGATGTCATTCCTGGGTAACTGGCACCAGCTAATCCCTCCTGTCCTTTGGCCCGTGCTCTTGATTCGTGTCATGCATTGTTTGTCAAGTACATCTGCACCCTGCGAGAGTAGCAAAGTAAACAATCCTTCTTCTTTTCCCCTTTTCCTTCCAGAATTTGCTTGTTGCTTTGAAATCAGCTTTGTTGTCCATGCTAGAGAAAACCAGTAGTGTTGATTGGAAAGGGGTGTACACAGAACTTGAAGTCATAGCCAAAAGTGACCACCAGTTGTCTTTTCCTTCAGCTTCTGGGAGGATGGCAGTGTACTCCGTGGGGTTTGTTGAGCTAAGATGCTGTTACTCCATCCTGGCTCAATAAATGTCCCTGGGGAGGGGCTTGACACTGCAATTTCCAATGCTACAGCAAAGAGCTGCTCTTGGATAAACCACAAACAGCTTTGATCTGATCTGTCCCTGCTTTCTTTTGCCTCAGAGGTTGAAAGATCTCAAGCAAAGGGAATTTGCTCGCAATGTCTCGTCAAGATCCCGGAAAGATGAGAGGAAGCAGGAGAAAGCCCTGCGGCGCCTGCACGAGCTGGCTGAGCAGAGGAGGCAGCCTGAGTGGTGAGTCTGGGTGGTCCCCAGCACCCCTGGAGCCCGGGGGGCTGCAGCCCTGGGCTGGACTGGCATTCCCACTCTGGGATATTGCACAGGCTTTGAGGTGTTTGGGTCTGATGCTGTGGTTTTGGTAGGAGTGAATTCACTAAACTGATCATGCACAGCGTCCCTAAATTGCTTTATCCAGCAATACATTTTCAGTAATTTAATATTATTAAAAACTTTGAGTGGCTGTATAATGATATTTTAATGCATGTGTCTGGGTGCAAGAGCACTTGAACTGCGTTAGATTGTCTCCGCTGAGGGATGGATCCTCCTGCAGAGAGCCAGGGACACCAGTCAGCTGTGTTTTTTCTCTCCCCTGTTCCAGTGCTCCTGGAAGTGGGCCCATGTTCAGGACCACCACGGTGGCTGTGGACGAGGAAGGAGGTGGAGACGATGATGATTCCGCGGCCAACAGCGGCTCCTTCATCCAGACGAGCTCTGGCCAGGCCACAGAGATGACCACGGACAGAGGCTTCCTGAACACTGGACAAGGCACTGTGGTGCCAGGCCAGACGCCTGCCCAGGGGGCACAGGCCATCAGCTTTGGCATTAAGAGCTCTCTGGGAACTCCACTCCAGAAGATTGGGGTGTCCTTTTCCTTTGCCAAGAAGACCCCAGTGAAGCTGGAGACCATTGCTTCTGTTTTCAAGGACCACGTGGACGAGTCCAATTCTGCAGATGGGGCAAAAGGTGATGAGAAGGGGTCCTCGGAGGCTGGCAGCCTGCAGAAGTCTGGGGAGGGTGAAGGCACCAATAATTCTGATGGCAAGGCAGAGGATGATGACCAGCATGACAAGGACAGCGGGGCTCTGGCCAGCACCTTATCCAAACTGAAGAAGATGAGGCGAGAAGATGGACCAACAGCCGTGGAACCAGAGTATTACCACTACATCCCCCCGGCCCACTGTAAAGTAAAGCCCAACTTTCAATTCCTGCTTTTCATGAAGGCTACTGAGCAAACGGAAGCAGAAAATGTGAACAAAAAAAACGCGCGCGAAGTAAAAAAGGGGAGTCCCCCCAAACGCAAACCTAGCAAGCACACAGAAAAGGCTGCTGAGAGCACGGGTCAGCAGAAGGAGCAGAGTACTACTGAAAGTGCAGCTCAGCAGGGCAAAACAGAACAAAAAGACATCCCAGAGAGTGAAAATACACAGGATAACAAGCACCTTCCAGAGAGCAATCCCCCCGAGCCAGACGCTGCTAAAGAAGCTCCTCCTCCTGCCTCGGGCTGCAGAGATGGCTCTGAGGGACCAAAGCATCCCATGGGACCTTTTTTCCCTGTTCTGAGTAAGGATGAGAGCACGACGCTGCAGTGGCCTTCAGAGCTGCTCATCTTCACCAAAGCTGAGCCCTCTGTGTCCTACAGCTGCAACCCCTTGTACTTCGACTTCAAGCTCTCCCGTAACAAGGATGCAAAAGGGAAAGGGGCAGAAAAGTCCAAGGATCCAGGGGGTCTTTGTAAAGACAACACTCAGAGCACAGAATCTGGTGAGGTGAGCAAAGCCAAGGAGGCTGAAAGTGTAGGGAACAGTTCTGCTCAGAAAATGGAAAACAAATCCCAGAGCAAGCAGGAGTCCAGTCTGGGAAGTGTAGGTAAGGGAGAGGGGGAGGACAGCAGTAAGAGTATAACAGGTAAAAGTAAATCTGGAAGGTCCCATAAACACAAAAAGAAAAAGAAGCACAAAAAGTCCAGCAGACACAAACGCAAACACAAGGAGGAAGCTGAGGAGAAGGCCCGGAAAGCTGAGCTGGGGGAAGAGAAACCCAAGAAAAGGAAAAGGCACAGGCACAAAAAAGGTAAATCCTCCCTTTCAATGGAGTCAGACCGGGCACTGAAACCTGAACTTTCTGAAGACTGCAGCCATTTCCAGAAGAAAAAGCGATGCTCCCAGGAGTCTCAGAGGAAATCCCTGTCTGCTGAGGAGGGAAGCAGTGGTAAAAAAGAGGATGGAGGTAATTCCTGCCAAGAGCACGGCAGCAAAAGACACAAGGCTGAGCTGCAGCAGGTGCCTGGTGCAAGGAGGCGCTGCCCAGCTCTGTCCCAGGCTCGCAGCGGCCACCGGAGCCGCCAGAGCAGCGGCGACTACGACAGTGACGAGGGCTCCCCCAGCAAGCACTGCCGGCAGAAATCCCCATCACAGTACAGCGATGACTACGACTCGGGCAGCGAGCATTCGCGCAGCCGCTCTCGCTCAGGCCGCAGGCACTCCTCACACAGGTCCTACTCCAGCAGCTCAGACGCGTCCTCGGGGCACAGCCGCTACAGCCGCCACAGGAGCTACTCGGACGACAGCTACAGCGACTACAGCGACCGCTCCCGCTGCCACTCCAAGCGCTCCCAGGACTCCGAGGATGACTCCGACTACAACAGCTCAAACCACCGCTCGAAGCGGCGCAAATACTCCTCATCAGAAGACGACTACAGCTCGAGCAGGAGCCGGTCCAGGAGTCGGTCCAGGAGCCGAACCCACCCTCGAGACAGGTCGAGATCAAGGAGCCGGGGCAGGAGCTGCAGCAGCAGCTGCAGCCGCAGTCGGAGCAAGAGGAGGAGCCGCAGCGTGACGGGCCGCAGCTGGAAGCGTAGCCGCAGCTACAGCCGGGACCGCAGCCGCAGCACCCGCAGCCACTCGCAGAGGTCCCTGTCACGAAAGGGCTCGCGGGGCCACGAGAGCCCCGAGGAGAGAAGGTCTGGCAGAAGGGACTTCATCAGGTCCAAGATCTATCGCTCCCAGTCTCCTCACTATTTCCGGACAGGCCGAGGTGAAGGGTCGCTGCTGAAGAAGGAGGATGGCAAAGGAGAGGATCTGAAAGGATCTGGGTCCCTGTCCCAGAACAGCAGCAGCTCTGGCACAGGGCGGGCCTCGGAAGGGGACTGCAGTCCTGAGGAGAGGAACTCCGTCACTGCCAAGCTGCTCCTGGAAAAGGTGCAGTCCAGGAAGGTTGAGAAGAAGCCTTGCGTCACTGATGAGATGCTATCAGGGGCAAACAAGGTGGGTATAAAGCTCAAAGATCCTCCCCAGGGCTACTTTGGCCCCAAACTGCCTCCTTCTTTAGGCAACAAACCAGTTCTGCCCTTAATTGGGAAGTTGCCAACCATTCGGAAACCAAACTCCAAAAGATACGAGGAGTCTGGCTTGGAGAGGGGCGAGGAGCAGGAGCTATCAGATGCTGAGGATGGTTCCCAAGGCATGGAGGAGGGTCAGCTGGCTGGCCAGTCTCTCCTGGAAGATGTGGTGATGGTAATTCAGGAAAAACCTCTGGATGAGCAGAAACGTGATGAAGCCTCTGTGGAGATGCCATCCCTTCCCTTAGACACGCCTGCGCTCCCTGAGTGCTTTGGCTCTGGAGATCTGGTCATGCCACACAACTTCCTCTCGGATCCAAGCGATGGTGATGGGCTGGAGCCTATCGACGGGGGCAACCAGCCAGTCCCAGTGGAAACCAGTATGATGCCTTTAGTTCCAGATGTTGAGCGCTTTCCTGGCTACGTGCCTCAGAGTGGGGAGCCGAGCATGGAAGGGGATCGGGAGGGGGGAGAAGATTCCTCTCTAGCCCCACTGGAGAGCCAGCCCATCACCTTCACCCCAGAGGAGATGGAGAAATACAGCAAGCTGCAGCAGGCTGCCCAGCAGCACATCCAGCAGCAGCTGCTGGCCAAGCAAGTCAAGGCCTTCCCCGCCTCGGCCGCCCTGGCGCCGGCCGCGCCCGCGCTCCAGCCCATCCACATCCAGCAGCCGGCGGCGGCGTCAGCCACGTCCATCACGACGGTGCAGCACGCCATCCTGCAGCACCATGCTGCCGCTGCCGCCGCTGCCATTGGCATCCACCCCCACCCGCACCCACAGCCCCTCGCTCAGGTCCACCACATCCCCCAGCCACACCTGACACCCATTTCCTTGTCCCACCTGACCCACTCGATTATTCCGGGGCACCCCGCCACGTTCCTGGCCAGTCACCCCATCCACATCATTCCGGCATCTGCCATCCACCCGGGCCCCTTCACCTTCCATCCTGTCCCTCACGCTCTCTACCCGACCCTCCTGGCTCCGAGGCCTGCAGCTGCCGCCGCTGCCACGGCCCTGCACCTCCACCCCCTGCTGCACCCCATTTTCTCAGGACAGGACTTACAGCATCCACCCAGCCACGGAACATGAAGGACAAAATGAAGGAACCTCGGAGGAAGGAGAATAGTTGGCATTTTGGGAAGGGGTCGGAGTCACGCCAGTGGGCAGGTGAGGCCTGAGCATTTCCTTTCACTCTTGAGCAGCCAAAGAAGCCGGAGGCTCGAGGGTTGGGTTGTTGTTGGCTGTATCCCAGCGATGTCTCGCTCTGACTGTGCAGGCAGCAGCACCGCTCCGGAAGAACCATTTCACCTTTCGAACAGCGAGACACTTGGAAAAGCTTTTTTCCCCTTTGAATTCTTACACTTGGTCATCTTCCTTCTGCCACCTTGTATATGATAAATGAGGTTTCATACACACTAATAGGATCTCTGAAAATCCTTTTAATGAGGTCATCTAATTAAAATAGCATGATTGAATCCAGCTTGTAATTGGCTATGGAACATCAGGAGCTGTCAGCTGCAGAGGGGCTGGAGGCCTCAGTTTTCAGGCATTGCAGGAGGTTCCTTGGCCCCTGCCACTGCACACGTGGGGTTTTCTTGGTGTTAGTAGCAAAGGTGGAAGTAAGATCTTAGTGTAAAGAGGAGGAGGAGCTCTGTGTGTGTGCCCAGAGCTCCCATCCTTCTCCATCCTGCAATCGCGTTCTCCTGCGCCAGGACCATGCCTGGATATCCCGGACTGGAGAGAGGTTCTCAGGTGGGGTATTGGGATTCCAGTCTGGGCTTTGACCACTCTTCTCCTGAAAGGGGGAAAAAATCACTCTGAATTCCATCTTCTGTGGTGTTGGGAAAGAGGCACTGAGATGGGAGAGAGAAGGAAAATCCTGTTAGGAATTGAAGCAATACAGAGGACAGGGGAACGCAGCCAGGATGTCAAGCGTGTTCTTTCCTCTGTAACACTGATGGTTTCCTTATTAATTTATAGGATTTTTTTTAATGTAAAGAATTGCACTGAACTCTGTAAACAAAGATGCTGCTTTTTGTAGCTCCTATCAAAGGTTACATTTGTAGTATATCGCAATAATATTTTTTACAGCCAGTTCTTAGTGGTACTTGTTCTGGTGGCTTCTGTGTAAATATGTTTGCTGTAGGTGACCCAAGACACTTGTAAAGGTTCAATTTATAGTTTAAGCTAGATGCAGAACAGCTAAGCATGTATATTTTATCAAGCTCATGTATTTTTGAAGTTTTTATGTACTATAAAATGTAAAAACAAAAAAAAATCTTCATTTAGAATTTTGCAGAAGAAAAAAATCAACAGGTGAGACTTGGGCAAGGTGAGGGGTGTGGGGGTAGCAGTGACTCTGGCAGGTAATGCTGCATTCCTCCCTGCCATAGGAATGGGCACTGGAGCAGCCTGGGGAGCAGCAGGAATTCAGGGTCCTCCCAGAGTATCGAGAGCCCTTTTTTTATCTTCTTCCTTTTTCCCCTGCTTTGGAAGCACTAATGTGCACACCCTGCTGGTGCAGGAGGAGCCTTGGGACAGTTCCCATTCCACACACAGGGTTACCCCAGCTCAGTCCACAAGGGATTTCCCAGTTCTCCCAACATCACCCAGCTCAGCTTCCCCATCCCAGTGCAGGGGATGAGCTGCTGCTGTCCCCACTCACAGGGCCCTGCAGGTGTCACAACCCTTGGGTCACCACCCCTGCAGGGAGGGGTTGCTGAGCAGTGTGGGGATGCAGTATCCCCATCCCTTTCCCTGTCCCCTCCTGGAGTGCAGCACCAGACCAGGCAGAGTTAAAGGATCAAAACCCCCTGAGCTCCCTCACCGTGTAAATGAGAACTTGGAGCAGGTCAGAGTGACAGCAGTCACAAAAAAGGGACTCAATTTCCTGTAAATACCAAACAGTTCAGTGTTACTGTCAGAGACGAGTTTCGTAGGGCCCATCCGTGCCCCGGCCCCATCACGCTGTGGGCAGGGATTATTTTTGGACTTCAGGATAGTGCTAAAATAATTAACCTGTCATTACTTAACGAGCATAAACAGACTGTATTTAACTTTGTCACATAAGATATATATATAAATATATATATATGCTGTAAAATGAGGGAAAAAACCTTTCTAATAAACCAATGATTTGTGGAAAAAAAACAACGTGCTGGTGTGTGGTGGTGGGGAGCTGCTGTGTAGAGCACCAGCCTCTCCTTTTCCTAACCAAAGGCCTGGTTTCATGAAAGGAAAAAATCCAGCTCCCTGCATGCCAGCAGGGTCGGGGTCCAGGGTGCCACCTGCCCTTCTCTGGCGGTGGCCCTGGGAGGAGGGGGCTGATGAGGGATCGTGCAGAAGTGCTGAAAGAAACAGGAAATTAAGTAATTGGACGCAAAAAAGAATTATAGTTGCCTCGAGGGGGGTCTGGTGTGGGCTTCAGCTGGGTTCAGATGCTGCTGCCAGCTGGGGACGAGACCTCCCGAGGAGGAGCAGCTGCCCCTGAGTCCGGTGTCCTTTCCTAGAGCACGGAGCTGACGGGCTCAGCTAAACCCTTCCCATCCCTCGGTGCTCTGCCACGGCTTTGGGCAAATGCTGCTCTCTTCCAGCTGCAGCTGCTCCAGGGCAAGGCTGCTCCCAAGCAGACCCCGCTCCGGGGATTGTGTCCCCTGTCAGGGCCCAAGGTGCCGTTTGGCTCGAGACCCCCCAACTGCCCTGTCCTGCTTCCCACCTGCAGCTTCAGCTCAGGAGAGGAGAAAAGCCCCGTTTGACACGGGCCAGCTCCCAAGGAGATGCTCTGGGGCCTCTCCCTGCCACCGGCGTTCGGTTGGCACGAGGAGCCCTCGGAGATCTCGAGCAGCCTGAGAGTCCTTAATTAATAGAGTTTAAATTAATTCTGCAGGTGCGTTCAGGGGCCAATGCTGCTGTCCGGGCAGGGCTGAGCCCTCGCCGCTGCCACAGGCCTTCCACGGGGACAGGGACAAGGACACACCGTGTTCGTTTGGCTGTGGCTGTCCCCTCCCTGCCCCCAGTCTCTTGCCAGAGCCATTGCCCTGCACAGCGCTGGTGCTGCCTCTCCCCTGGCAGGGTTTTGGGGTGCCCCTGCCCTAGGGAAGGGGACACTGCAGGGGGTGATGACCAGTGCGGGCGGATTCGGTGCTGTCAGCTCCATCCGGCTGCAGAGGGATATCGAGGGCGGTGGAGGGGCCCTGTGCCCTGCTGTCCTCCCCCGTCCTCGCCACATTTCCGCTGGTAGCGACTGCCTGCACCCCGAAATAGCCTCTCCGACAGTGCCGTGGCCCCGGCGGGCGATAAGCTCAGACTGCTGTGGCCGTGTTCCCCCACCCGTCACCGTGTCTCCCGGTGGCACTGCCACCTCCTGTCCCCCGCGCTGTTCCGGCCACATCTGTCTCCCCTGCACCTCTCTAGCTCCCTGCAGAAGCGGATGTGCTTCTGTGGGTCCGGGGGGGCCCTTCCTGTGCTCCCCGTTCCTGCTGGCCCCGTCCCCAGCTGCGTCCCCCGAGATAAGCCAGGGATGCCTCGGGACGGGGGCTGTGGCCACATTTTGGGGTGACGATGGGGCTGCTGCGGGTGCTGCTGTTCTTCGGGGGGCTGCGCCTGCCCCCCACACTGGGGCTTCTCCAGGATCCCCCCACCATCTACGAGGGACCCGCCGGCAGCTATTTCGGTTTCGCCCTGGATTTCCACATGAGCGAGGGAAGGTAGGGAGGCACCGGGTGTCGGGGTCGAGCACCGCACACACCCGCCGGCCCTGACACCCGCTCTGCCCCCCAGGCCCAGCGTGGCAGTGGGGGCCCCCCGTGCCAACACCTCCCAGCCCGGCGTGGCTCAGCCCGGCGCCGTCTTCCTCTGCTCCTGGCCCCCCGACAAGACTCCCTGTCACCCCCTCCCCATCGACACTGCAGGTGCGTGGGCGCCGTGGGGCGGGGGGTGGGCAGGGTGGTGGTGGCAGACCCGCACATTCCCCCTGTCCCGCTCTCCCAGGGAACGAGAGCGAGAGCCAGGGCGCATTGGAGCTCCACACCTACAAGTCGGACCAGTGGCTGGGAGCGTCCGTCACCAGCTGGGACGGCAAACTGGTGGTGGGTGCATCTGGGGGAGATGTAGGCAGCCATGGGTGGCCACGGGGCGGGCACCCAGCCTGTCCCATCGCCGTGCCCAGGTCTGTGCCCCGCTGCAGCACTGGAACGCGATAGAGGGGCAGCAAGAGGCGTTCCGCACCCCGACGGGCACCTGCTTTGTGTGGAGCCCGGGGCAGCGGCGCACGGTCTGGTACTCGCCCTGCCGCGACCAGACCATGGCCAGCACCTACCGCCAGAGGAACTACGGTGAGGGGGGACCGGGGAGCGGGGGGTGCCCCCAACCACGCGTCTGTCTGACCCTGCCCTGTGCCCTTAGTGCACGACAAGCGCTACTGCGAGATCGGCTTCAGCGCCGCTGTCACCCCGGTGAGAGGGGACTTGAGGGGCTTGGGGGACTCTCAGGGCTCAGGGGACACCTTGGGGGAATCGGGGGGCGGCGCAGCCGGGGTGCCCCTCGGGATGCCCATGGGGTGCTGGTAGAGATGCAGAGGGTGTGGCCAGGGTGGTACCTGGGTGTCACGGAGGGGGATTTTGGGATGTTGGGATGTTGAATGCTGAGACGGGGGATGCTGGAGTGGGAATTCGGGGAGGAGGTCCTAGGAGTGGGGGGAATGTTCGGGTGGCGGTGCCAGGATGGGAGATGCTGGGCTGGAATATGCCAGGATGGGAAATACTGGGGTGGGAGATACTTGTGTGAGGATGCTTTGGGGAGATGCCAGGTTGCCCCGGGGTGGTTCTGAACCAGCTCCTCCCGCAGGACGGGACGCTGGTGCTGGGTGCCCCCGGCGGGTACTATTTCACGGGTGAGTCCTTCCTGCCGGCGTTGCCACCCTGGCTGGTGCTCCCGGGGTGCTCTCTTCGGGTGGGCACGGCGGGGGGAGGGCACCCGGATGGGGTACCCTATAAGTGCCACCTGCAGTGGCACTGGCAGCCCAGGGTCACAGCCTTGCCTGTGGCAGTGGGTGCCCCGTCAGTGCTGGTGCTCCCCGACGCGATGTCCCCCAGGGCTCGTGTACTCGGTGGAGCTGGACAAGATCCTCAGGCGCTTCCTCGGCACCTCCCTGCTGTGGCTGGGGAGCCCCGGGCGCCCCACGGAGCCGGTGTCTGGGGCCTACGAGGACGGGTACCGGGGTGAGCAGCGGGCGTGGGCACCCCGCCCCCCGTCAGCTCCTGCTGGGATACCCCGGGGTCACCAATGCCCATCTCCCTGCAGGATACTCGGTGGCTGTGGGCGAGTTTGATGGCAACCCCAAAACCAAAGGTAGGGCTCGGGGGTGCAGGGAGCAGGGGTTGATGGGCCTGGGGCACCCCGGTGCTCCAGAGTGACCTTGCTTCCTTTCCCAAGGGGGCTGGACAGATTGTGCCAGTTCAGGGGTCTCATCCATCTCTGTGCCCTCATGCCCCCAAGTCGCACCAGGCGTATCCCTGTGCCCATCCCAAGGCCGTGGGTATCTCCGTGCCCCCCTCAATGTCCCAATGGGGGCACTTAGGGCTCTCATCCCTCGCAGAGTACGTAGTGGGAGTCCCCAACAAGAGCAACACGAGAGGTGAGGTGAGTGCTGCGAGGTGCCCAGTGCCGGTGCCTGGCCGAGGGGACACCAGAGGACACCACCATGTGTCAGTCCGGTCTGCGCCTGGCGTCTGACACTGCCCTGGGCAGGTGGAGATCTTCACTGCGGGGGACACTCTGCGTTTGCTGCGGGGCATCGCCAGCGAGCAGGTACCCCTGTCCTGTGCCGCCCCCAGCACCCCCGGTGCTCCACAGCACTCCTGCCCCCATCCCATAGCACCCCAGCCACCCCCGCCCACTGTGACCCTGGCACCCCCCGGTGCCACCCTCTACCCGGACCCTTTCCAGGTGGCTTCGTACTTCGGACACACAGTGGCAGTGGCTGATGTCGATGGGGACGGGTGAGAGCAGGGACAGTCGTCCCCTCATTCTCCGTGGGGACACCCAGGGGTGCTGCCCCGTGCCTGGCACACCGCTGGGTGGCCCCCGGCCCCAAACCTGCGGACCCTGACGCTGATCCCGCGCCGGGCACAGGCGGGACGATCTGCTGGTGGGCGCACCCCTGTACATGGCCCGGGGCTCCGACGGGCAGCGCAGCGAACTGGGGCGCCTCTACGTCTACCTGGGGCGGGGACAGCAGCCCCTCGCAGGGCCCCCCCAGACCCTGACGGGTACCCACCCCTACGGCCGCTTTGCCGCCGCCATTGCCAGCCTCGGGGACCTGGACAAGGACGGCTTCGGAGGTGACGGCGCGGCGGGGCGGGCAGGAGGATGTGCCGCTCTCTGGTGCCGCGCCTTGGGGAAACTGAGGCAGGAGAACGCGGGTGGGTACTCACGTCCCTTCTGTCCCCAGACGTGGCCGTGGGAGCCCCGCAGGGGGGTGACAGTGGCAGCGGGCAGGTCTTGATCTTCCGCGGGCAGAGCGAGGGGCTGGCGCCGGTGCCCACCCAGCGCCTCAACAGCCCCTTCCCCGGGCCCGCCGCCTTCGGCTTCGCGCTGCGTGGTGCCACCGACCTGGACGGCAACGGCTACGCGGGTACAGCCCTAGCACTACACCGCCCTGCCACCCCGATGTCGCCACCCCGATGTCACCACCCCGGCACTGACCCTCTGCTTGTCCCTGCAGATCTGCTCGTGGGAGCTTACGGGGCGGCCAAGGTGGCCGTGTACCAGTGAGTGCCCGTCCCTGCGGTGGCCCGGGGTTCCCTGTTGGGTCCCCTGGCACTTCAGCAATGTCCCCGTGCCCCAGGGGACTACCCGTGGTGGTGGCCCAGACCCAGCTGAGTGTCCCCGACGGGCTGAACCCTGAGATCCTGGACTGTGACCTGCCCGACTCCAGTGTCCGTGTCAGCTGGTGAGGGGACACTGCCACGGGGACACACACTGCCGTGGGGACACTGCAGTGGGGACAGTACTGTGGGGACACAGTCATGGGGACACCGCCGTGGGCACAAGACAGGTCTCTGATCCCCTGTTTGTGTTGTCTCCCCGCAGCTTCCACGTGGTGTTCTGTGTCAGCGTGAAGGGCCAGCACCTCCCTCAGAGCATCCGTGAGTGCCAGTGTCACTCGGAGGGCACCGCTGTCACACGGGCACTGCTAGGGTGCCACCGCGGGTGTCACCAGTGCCACCTTCTGTTCCCCACCAGACCTGGAGGCTGAGCTGCAACTGGACAGGTTGAAGCCCCGGCCGTCGCGGAGGGTCCTGCTGCTGCAGGGACACCAATCGTCCTGGCAGGAGGAGCTGGTGGTGGCACCGGGGACACCTCCTGTGTGCAGCAACCTCACCGCCTACCTGCGGGTACGGGCACAGAGACAGCGCGACAGAGGGCGGGGACAATCTATGGAGGGTGGGGGACAGGCATGGGGATGTGGCATCTCCAGCCAGGATGGGGACAGGGCTGGGGACAGGGATTGGGGATAACAGTGGCCAGAAGGGTGGGTAACAGGGATGGGCTCAGCGGTGGGTGGGGGCCCTGGGTTGGGGTGGGCACGGGGTGCTCTCCAGAGCGCTCTGCCCATTGTGTCCCCAGGACAAGGCCGAGTTCAAGGACAAGCTGAGCCCGGTGGCCCTGAGCGTGTCCCTGACGCTGCCCAGAGAGGCTCCGGGTCTGGTGCTCTACGGGCAAACCCTGGTGCAGGCACAGGTAGGGGGGACATGGCTATGGGGTGATGTCACCATGGTGATAGGGGGTGAGCTCAGCCCTACAGTTGGGCCAGGGCACATGTGGATACCCCCAGCCTGGGTGTGCTCAGCTCCGGGGTCCCCAGCCTGTGCCAGTGTCCCCAACACCCCCCTTGGGACATTGCCCCCGTTCCTCTCCACCACTGTCCCCAGTTTCCACTGGAATGTGCCCCCACACTGTCCTTGCCACTCCCTGGCATGTCCGTCCTGTTCTGCCCTCTGTGCTCACCCTTCAGTCCCCAACCCTCCCTTTGATGTCCCCTTTGTACCCAGCACTGTCCCCATTCCCAAAACCGAGAATGTTCCTCTGTTCCCTCTGCCATGCCCAATCCTTCCCCAGGATGTCCCCCTGTTGTCCCTGCTCCCTCCTTGGCATGTCTCAGGGTATGTTCCCAATCGTGCCCCTGGATATCCCCTCTGCTGTGCCCATTCTTCCCTCTCGGAGATGTCACCTCCCTCCCCTCCATCCCCGGTCTCTCCGGTCCCCTCTCTACTCTGCACTGTCTCAAATCTTCCCTCAGGGATGTCCCCTCTGGCCCCTCCACCAGCCCAATCCCTCCCCGGGATGTCCCCCCCGTACCCCCTGCTGTCCCAAATGACTCCCCCTCCCACACCTCACCGTGGATGGGGGGGTCTCCCTGTCCCCTCCCTGTCCCCTCCCGTCCCCCTCCCAGACCCACCTCATCCTGGAGGACTGTGGTGATGACAACCTCTGTGTCCCCGATCTCCACCTGGCCGCCGACACGTGAGCACCGGATTAGGGGGAGGGGGGTGAGGGAGCGCTCGGTGTCCCCGCGGGGTGCTGAGCCCTGTTCCCATGTCCCCCAGCCCCAGCCAACGCCTCCTGATCGGGGCGGAGGCCGCGCTGTCCCTGCGCGCCAACGCCACCAACGCGGGCGAAGGCGCCTTCGAGGCGGAGCTGAGGGTGCAGCTGCCCCCCGGCACCCACTACCAGGCTGCCCGCAGCACCATCCCGGTGGGTGTCGAGTGGGGGGTGACAGGGGTGACCGGGGTTGGGGAGGTTCCTATTCTGTTCTTGGTGGTGTCTGGGGTGGGGGAGCTCATGGCCTGCCCTTGGTGGCCGTCACTCTCTTTGGGGGTGCCCAGTGCTGATGGGTGCTTGGGGATGACAAGAGCGGGGGCTCAAACTGTGTCCTTGGTGGCTGTCACGTTCCATGGGGGTGCCCAGTGGTGATGGGTGTCAGGGGATGCCCAGCTCAGGGGGTGACCCAAATCGGGGCTGCCTGGTGAGGATGGGTGCCCAGGGACCCTGGGTTGGGGGGGTTCATGTCCTGCCCTTGAGTGGCCAGCTCTCTCCACAGGGTCCCAACTGGTGATGGGTGTTCAGGGGTGTCCAGGGTGTGGGGCTCAAGCCTGCCCTCAGCTCATGCAGTTCCCCAGTGTGGTTGGTTCATGGCAGGGTCCATGACGTGTCCCCATCCCATGTCCTCACCCCAGGGGCAAGAGAAGCTGAGTTGCAACCCCAAGAAGGAGAATGGGACCCACGTGGTGCTCTGCGAGTTGGGCAACCCCATGAAAGCGGGGGCCCGGGTAAGGGGATGGGGGGGTCCCTGCTGTGCCTGTCACCCGTTGGGGCTGGTCACCCACCTGGCCCTCTCTGCTGTCCCCTAGATCACCGTGGACATGGAGCTGAGCGTGTCCGGGCTGGAGGACATGGGGGATGCCATCACCTTCCACCTCCAGCTGCGGAGGTGATACCCTGCTGTGCCACTGTCCCCCACCCACTGCTGGGACACCGGCACCTCAGACTCAGCGTCCTCAGCATGTCCCCAAACTCAGTGTCCATCCCTCATCTCGTTGTGTCCCCACAGCAAGAATAGCCTCAGCCACAGCAACGCGTCGGTGACGGTGACAGTGCCCGTGGAGGCAGAGGCAGAGATGCAGCTGCGAGGGTGAGGGCTGGGGGACATGGGGATAATGGAGAGACAAAGGGGGACACTGACGCCTCTCTCCCACCAGCAACTCCCTGCCTGCCATCACGGTGCTGCCCACGAGCTGGCACTGGGTGGAGGGCAGCCAGCGGCCCGAGGACCACGGCATCAAAGTGGAGCACGTCTATGAGGTAGGAGGACACGGCACTCGCGTGCCGAGGGGACAGGGGATGTCCCCTCTGTCTCCTCCCCGGCGTCACCCCCGGTGCTGGGCATCACCCCACCGTCCTCCCGCAGCTCCACAACGAAGGTCCCGGCACCGTCAGCGGGGTCACTCTGAGCCTCGCCATCCCCCACCTGCTGGGCGACCGTGTCCTGCTCTACCTGCTGGAGCTGGGCACCGAGGGGGGCTTGAACTGCTCCCACCACCCCGCCCTCAACCCCGCCCAGGTAGGGGCTGCTGGACCGCTGTCCGCGGGCGCTGGGCCATGTCAAGGAGCTGGATGTCACCCTTGTGTCCCCTTCCAGCTGGGGATCTCCAGTCCGACGGCCGCAGCGCCCGGGAACGGCAGCCACCAGCGGGAGCGCCGGGAGGCGGAGCCGCCCCCGGCCGGACTGGGGGACTTCGTCCGTGTGGTGAGCGGGTGACCCTGGGGACCTGCAGCTGTGATGGGTGCAGGGCTGGGGGTGCCACGGTGGGGGCCGCATCCCTGAGGTGACCCTGGGGACCTGCAGCTCATGGTGGGCATTGGGCTGGGAGTGTTCTCAAGGGTGGGGGCCCCCAACACCCACCGTGTCCCTCAGGACTGTGACAATGCCACGTGCGTGGACATCATCTGCCACGTGCCCAGCCTGGGCAAGGACCAACGGGCACTGGTCAGTGTCCACGCCCTGCTCTGGATGGACACCTTGCAGCAGGTACTGTCGCCTCCTGGGGACAGAGGGGAGGAGGTGGCATTGTCGCCCCAGGGCACCCCTGCAATGTCCCCTCCTGCATGGTGGTCCTCCGAGAGCAGCCTGGGATTACCGTGTGTGGTGCCAGCACCCCTGATGCCCAGCTCCCATGTGTCCCCCGCGTCTCCCCTCATCTGTCCCTAGCGGGAGCACCTCCTGACGCAGTTCCTCATCCAGTCACAAGCGTGGTTCAGCACCTCGGCCATGCCCTACCGCGTCCAGCCCCGGGTCCTGCCCACAGGCAAGGCTCAGGTAAGGCTGGCGTGGGTGTGGGGACACAGGGACAGGCCTGGTGGCAGCGGTGTCACCCACCTGTCCCTCTGCAGACTGACACCCGCGTGGTACGCGCCAGCCTCGGGGCCGAGGGGGCTGTGCCAGTGTGGTGGGTGGTGCTGGGGGTCCTGGCCGGGCTCCTGCTCCTCACGCTCCTCATCCTCCTCATGTGGAAGGTGAGTGGGCACAGGGGGACACTGGGGGCATCCACAATGGTGGTGGGGCGTCACTGGCACCAGAGGGGCCGTGAAACGTGGGACACAGTGCTGGGTGTGGGGGCTGTGGGACAAGATGGGGGGACAGCAGCACGGGTGATGCCGTACGGTCCCAGGCAAGTGACACTTTGGGGTCTCCAGAGGCTGGTGCCAGGGGGTCTCTCGGGAATGATGTCATGGGGTACCTGCAGTGGTGCCACAGGGATCTCTGGGGGGCTGATAATGTGGGATCCCTGCGGCTGGTGCCGCAGGGTCCCCCAGGACCCGACTGTCACTGTGTCCACTTCCAGACCGGATTCTTCAAGAGGACGCGGCCGCCTGCCGAGGGGGACACGCAGGAGGAGCCCGGCCGGGCCCAGGAGCCTGGTAGTTCCCAGGAGCCTGGCAGTGCCTAGGACTAGCGGAGTCCCTGGGGTCACCTCGTGCCTCACCCCACCCAGCTCCCATTCCCCAGCACCCCCGAGTGCTGTGGGACTGCAGCCCCGCTCTGCTCCTCCCGGACAATAAATCCCGCCCTGCCCTCGGGTGCTGCTCATGGGAGTGTGGTTGTGTCCCCCCGGACCTGCACTGGGGGGGGTTGGCAGGGGGACAGGGCACAGCAGGGGGGCAGGGAGGCTTTTGGGGACCTCCGAGTGCACTTGTGGGGTGTCCCGGGAGGGCAGTGGGGAGTTGGTGCCGGGGTCAGTCCCGGGGGGCTGGTGCTGTGCTAGGGATCCGTACTGGGGACGATGCTGGTACCGTGGTTGGGTCACGGTAACGGGATCAGTCCCAAGGATGGGACCAGGGGATCGAGGCAGTGCCAAGGGCCAGTCCCGAAATTCCGCTGCGGTACCGGGGGCGGGGGTCGACACTGAGGCTCAAGAAAGTACTGCGAGTGGGTCCTGGGATGCTGGTGCCGGTACAGGGTCAGTCCCGGGATGACGGTGTCCGTACCATGTCCCCATCCCAGGACTTGGAGTGGAGCCAGGAATGGGTCCCGGGAGGCCTGTGCGGTACCGGGGGCAGTGCAAAGCTGCCGGTGCCAGTACGGGAGTGAGTCCTGCAGTGCCGGGTCCCGGTCCTGGTCTCGGGGCGGTACCGGGGGTGGGTACAGCGTGTCGGGATCGGTACCGGGGTTAGAGCCGGGGCTCGAGGCAGTATCAGAGGTGGATCTGGGGGTCGGTGCCGATGTCGGCGGTGGGTCCTGAGATGCCGCTGCCGATACCACGATCAGTCTCGGGATGCCGGTGACGGTACCGCGTCCAGGTCCAGGTCCCGGAGAGGTGCCGGGGAGAGGTGCTGCCGTCTGCTGCGGTACCGGCGATGGGTCCCGGGGCACTGTAGTGGGCGGTGCCGGAGGTCTGAGGCGGTGCCGGGGGTTGGTCTGGGGGTCTCGGGGCGGTGCCGGGGGTGGTCCCGGTGCCGGGGCGGTGCCGCTCCGGGGGTGGGCACTGGGCGGCCGTGCCCGGCGGCTCCGGCAGGTGGAGCCCGGTCCCCGCGGCGGGCGGGCGGACGGGCCGGGCGGGCCGGGCATGGCGGGGTAACGGCGCGGAGCCACCATGCGGCCCCGCCGCCTCCTGCCGCCGCTGCCGCCGCTGCCGGTGCTGCTGCTGCTGGCGGCCGCGGGCGGGCGGCGGGCGCGGGGCGCGGCGGAGCCGGGAGCGCACGGTGAGAGCGGCCTTTGTGTGCGGGGCGGGGGGCGCCGCCGGCAACACCCCCGCCGTCCTCCCCGCCCGACCCCCGCGCCCACATCCCCTCGGCATCGCTTGGCTCCCAACCCCTGCCCTCCACCACCCCAGCCCGACCAACGCCCCCACTCCCCCATACCCGCCCGATCCCCGCACCGACATCCCCCCCACATCCTTTGAACCCCATCACCCCCCCGCGCACCACCCTCTGATCGATCCCAGAACCGGCCCCCACATCCCTGCCCGACCCCGGCCCCGACATCCCCCCTGGCATCCCTTGGCTCCGTCACCCCCTCAGCAGCACCGGCCCACTCCCGACCCCCGCCCCGACACTCCCCGGCATCCCCCGGCCCCCACACCCCCATCCCCGCCCGCCCCCGCCCCGAATCTCCACGATCCCGACACCCTCATCCCCTCCCGGCGCCCCCGGGCTCTCCCATCCTTGCCCACACCCCCTCCCCTCCCACCGCGCCCGCACCCCCCGTCCATTGCCTCCGTCCATTCCCCTTGTCCATTCTCCGTCCATTCCCGGCTCTGTCTTTCCGACTGCACCCCCCCGTCTGTTTGTCTGTCTCCCTCTCCCCGGGCGGTTCTGGCCGCAGGCGGGCAGAGGGTGATGGGTGGGGGGCCTGGGCAGTGCCAGGGGGTGCAGCTGCTTGGGTGGGGGTCACGGACAGAGCCTGGGGGGCACGAGAGGGTGGGGGTGGTCCCAGACCTTGCGGTACAGGATGGTAGGGGGGGTCCGGGGCAGCGCCGAGAATTCATGATGGTGGGTGGGCGTCACAAACCAGGGAGTGAAGGAAGTTGGGTGGGGATCGTGGACAGAGCTTGGGGGTGCAGTAGGGTGGGTGGAGGTCCTGAGGAGAGCTTGAGGGTGTCTGATAGGGAGTGGCGGTCCCAGGTCAGGGGGTGCATGATGGTGGGTGGACAGGGGGGTCCTGAGCAGCACCTGGGGAGCAGGATGGTGGGGGATGCAGCCAGGAGGCAGGGTGGGCCTTGGGGTCCCCGTGGTTCCCTGTGACCCCCTCCTGCACCCTAAACCCTCCTGGCAGAGCCCCTGTGAGGGTGAGGCGTGCCCGGGGGTCAGAGGGGGGCTGTGGGGTGAGGGGAAGTCCCTGACCCATCCTGTCTGTGCTGGCTCAGCTCTCCCGCTGGCGTCACCCCTGACCGTCCCTGTCCCCGCTGGGTGACAGACATGGCAGGGCTCCTCACTGCCACCCCAGGGCCTGGCACCCCCTGCCCCGCCTCATGGCACCGTGGGGTCAGACTGGGAGGCACTGGGGTCAGACTGGGAGGCACTGGGGAGCCAGTGTGCCTCGCGGTGGCTGTACCACCCTCTTGGCACCCTTTGATGGTGGGGGGACAGAGAGTGGGGACGGCCATGGCTGTGCCCCCGCGCTGGGGGTGACACCATGGCCCCCCCTCCCCAGCGGACACCGGGGTTGGTGCCAGCTGTCCCACGGCAGCTGCGGGTGGCCGGCGTGTGGCCGCGGGGACACTGCTGCCCGCCGGTGCCGGCTGTCCCCGCCATGCGGGGGGACACCCCCAGCCTCTCCATTCCTGAAACCCGCCCCCCCCGCCCCTTTGCATCGCTGGAGCAGCTGCTGCGAATTTCCCCCCTCTCCCATTGCCACATCTGGGCCGCATCTGGGCCGGGGTGGGTCGGGGTGGGGTGCCTGGTGGAGTGGGGGGTTCCGGGGGGCCGGAGCTGCGGGGGGCCGGGCGGGAGCCCCGGGGCGCGGGATGAAGGAGGTCGTTGCCTGGGTGACGGCGCCGGAGCCGGGACCGCTGCCAAGGGCTGCGGATCATGCGCAGGATGGCGCTGGCTCGGGGGGGCCGGGGGCACACGGGGGTTTAGGGTCCCCCCCTCCCTCGAGCCGGGCCCTGCAGCGGGGACTTGCCGGGGGAATCCCTCTCTCTGCTACTGGTGGGGCTGCTGGGGTCGAGACCCCCTGGCTTTGGGACAGGTGTGAGCGGCACCCTGGGGGTGGCCTCTGGTGGGGGGTTGAGAGTGACGTGACTGGGTGCACCCACCCGGTGGACATGGCACCCTGGGGCCAGGAGCTCCCTCGAGGGGCACAGGGTGGGCATAGCAGTGATGCTCACACCACCTCGGGACAGTGCCTGCTGCCTGCTGGGGACCACCTGTGACGTGGGTACCTGTGACCCACCTGGGTGCTGGCTGTGACCTGCTGGGAATGGTGGGCATGTGGGATGGGTCTCACCACCTGCTAGGATGGTGGCCGTGACCCATCAGGATGGTGCCCATGGCTTTCTGGGATCGCGCCTGTGACTTGTCAAGTTGCACTATCCTGTTTGGATGGTGACCATAATCCACAGGGACAGGTCCCACCACCTGCTGGGGGACCATCACCCGCCAGAATGGTGGCTGTGATGGTGACCATGACACCCCTGGGATGGTGGCCATGACCCCCGGGGATGGTGGCTGTGCCCGCTGGCTTAGTGGCTGTGACTCCCGACGTGTGTCCCACCCAGCCTGTCCCCTGTGGTGCTGTGTGGGTGCCGTGCCCGTGCCCATGCCGGTGTCCTCGCCCGTGTCCCCGCAGAGGTGCTGCTGCGGGTGCAGGTGTTCGAGAGCGGGACGCTGGTCCCGCTGGCACAGGCAGCCCTGGACGTGTTCGGCGCCCGCAGCGCTCTGGCAGCCGGGACCACTGACCACACGGGCACCGGGGTCCTGCCCGTGCCCTATCGCCTGGGCTCCTGGCTGCTTGTCACCGCCGCACGCCGCGGATACGTCACCGCCTCCGTCCCCTGGCGCGTCACCAAACTGCCACGTGAGTCACCAGGACCCCCAACCTGGGGGTGGACCTCAGTGCCTTCCTGGGTGGCTCTGGTTGGGGGTCCCCAGTCCCTTACTGAGACCTTTGAGTCTGACTAGAGGGCACAATCCCTTCCTAAGGGGATTTAAGCCGTGATGGGAAATCCCCAATCCCTTCCTGAGGGTTCTGGGTCTGATTGGAGGTCTTAAATTCCTAACTGGGACCCCCTTACAGAGGAGCCCTAATGGGTTTCAGTGTAGGGGGTCCTTTACAGAACGGTGTTTGGGAGGGGTCTGGCCCCTTTGGGAGGGGACAACCGTGTCATGGTGGCCCCCAAGTTCCCCCATCCCATCCCAGGGCAGGGGAAGCTGGGGGTGGCATCAATGGGAGGGGTCAGCTTGGGGGGGATGGCACACATGGGAGCACTCAGCTGGAGAGGTGGGAATGGGGGTACAGGGATTATGGGGTACAGGATGGGGATGGGGAATGGGAGAATGCGGGGTACTGGGATGAACTGATACACGGATAGGGATGGGGTGCATGGATGGGATTGTGGAGGGAGTGCCCCCACCCTGCCCACTGCCTGCCTCCACCTGTTCCTCCTGTCCCTGTCCCCAAATGCACCTCACCACCCCTTGCTGTCTCCCCCTTCCCCATCCTCTCTGCAGACCCCATCTCCCCCCTCTCCCCATCCCAGACCCAGGAGGAGTGTGTGTGTATTTTTGGGGTTCAATTGTGTGTAGTTTGGGGTCCTCCATCACCCCCTCTTGCCCTTGCAGTCTACGCCTCCATCAGCCTCTACCTGGTCCCAGAGCGCCCGGCCACGCTCATCCTCTACGAGGACCTGGTCCAGATCCTCCTAGGATCCCCAGGTGAGACACGTTGGTGACGCCACCAGCCCCCTTGGGTGCTGCCACCCACCCTGTGCCCACCGGCTGAACCATGGGGATGGCAGTGGGTGACAGCACCAGCCCCCCCGGGTGCTGCCACCTGCCCTATGCTTCCCAGCTGAGCCTCAGGGTTGGAGCTGGGTGGCACCACCAGCCTCCCCAGGTGCTGCCACCGCCGTGTCCCCGCAGGTGGCCGTGGGCAGCCGTGGGCGCAGTTCCCACGGCGGGCAGCCCGCCTGCCCCGCAGTTCCACCTACAGCCAGCTCGCTGCGTCCCTCACCACCGCCTCCGGCCCCAGCCTGGCCCGCGCCTTCCCCGCCTTCCTCGGGGTCGAGCAGGACGGCAGCGGTATGGGGGACACCGGGGACTTGGGGAGTGGGGGGCACACTCCATGTGGCCTCCCCTTAGGGATGTCCCCGTCCTTGTCCCCGCAGCCAATGGCACCTGGCTGGAGCTGGCGCCGGTGGCGGCTGTCAGCGTCCACCTGTTCACCGGGAACGGGACCGAGGTGCCGCTGGCCGGTCCCGTCCACCTCTCCATCCCTTTGGCCCCCGACGCCGCGGCCGTGGTGGCCACCAGTGTGCCAGCCTGGAGGTTTGACCCCAAGAGCGGTGAGTGCTGACTGGGAGGTGGCAGAGGGGGGACACCGCTCCTGCAGGGGGATGGTAGGGGGTGTGATGAGTCCGAGGGGTCTCAGCCCGGTGTGTCCCCACAGGACTGTGGGTCCGTAACGGGACGGGGCTGATCCGAAAGGAAGGCCGGCAGCTGTACTGGACGTTCGTCTCGTCCCAGCTGGGATATTGGGCAGCAGCTCTGCCCTCCCCCAGCACAGGTGAGGTGACACCTGTGAGTGCCCTCCCAGTCTGTGTCCCTTGGTTCTGGGGACAGGCTGCCTGGGGAGGGGGTGGCAGCACCTGGGGGTGTTTCCCTCTCCAACCCGCCTGTCCCAGGGCTGCCTGGGACCACTCTGGGATGTTCCTGGTGGGGTGGGGGCTCCCTGATCCCATTGTCCCCAGGGTTGTCTGAGGCTGGGGGGACATCGCGGCCCCCTGGAATGCTCTGGTGGGGGGGCTCCCTTTGCCCCTCTGTCCCAGGGCTCTTTGGGGGCCCTGTAAGACCCCAGTAAGGCCTGCAGGATACTCTTCGGTGGGGCTCCCCCTCTGACCCTCTTGTCATCAGGGCTGGTGGCGATGGCAGCGGGTGTGACAGACATCACCACCTACCACACCATCTTCCTCCTCACCATCCTGGGTGCCCTGGCCCTGCTCGTCCTTATCCTCCTCTGCCTCCTCATCTACTACTGCAGGTCAGCACCGGCTGTGTCCTGACCATAGTGGGGGGTGGGAACAGAACCTGAAATTCCATGTGGGAATGGGCGTCAGCACCCACCTGTAACCCCTGGGTGCCCCATAGCTGTGGGGGACCATTTCCTGGCACCCTATAACTGGTTATGGGGAGAGGGCAGCATCCTCCTGGTACCCCTGTGTGCCCTATATTTGGCTTTAGGAAGGGGGGAACCACCCCATGGCCTAGACCTGACTATGGCAAAGGGGAACCACCCTCCTGGAACCCTTGAGTGCTCTGTAGCCATTTTGGAGGCGTCACCGCCCCTTGGAACCCCCAGATGCCCTACAGTTCTTTATGGGGAGGAGGCACCAGCCTGTGGAACCTCTAGGTGCTCTTCAGCTGGATTTGGGAGCCAGACACCAATCTCCATAACCCCCGGGTGTCCTACGGCTGGCTTGGGAGGGTGGACACCACTCCCCAGCCCCACGTAGCCCTCTCCTCTAGCTCCTTCCAGCAGGCGAGGGGGGGGGAAACAGGGGAACCCCCGACCCCACGTGCCGCCGTCTCCCCGCAGGCGGCGGTGCCTGAAGCCGCGGGCGCAGCACCGCAAGCTGCCGCTGCCGGGGCCGCTGGACGCGGCGCGCCGGGACCAGGCCACCTCGGTGTCCCAGCTGGACCTCCTGTGCGGGGGCAGCCACCTGGAGACCGCCTCCTCGGGGGGGGACACCGACCTGCCCACCCCCAGCCTGCCCCCCTCGACCCGCGAGCTGACCCCCGCCCGGCCGGACTTCTTCCAGCCGCCGGCCCCGGCCCCGCTCCGCTCCGGCCCCCGGGCTCCGGCCGCCACGCTGGCCCCCCGCCGCCGCCAGCCCCCGGCCCACGAGGACTATGGGCGCCCCGGCGAAGCCTTCGGCCTCCGGGCCGCCCGCTCGGTGGACGGGCTGCAACCGCCCGACGAGCACCCCCGGGGCACCCCCGCCTTCCCCCCGCGGCCCCCCTCGCCCTCGTTCTCCCGTTACGGGGCGCAGCCGACCGAGCACCCGCTGCCTGAGCCCCCCCCGCGCCCGCCCTCCTTGCCCCCCCCCGGCCCCCTGTTGCTTTGCGGGCCCCTGGACCGGGGCGGGGGGCCCGAGGATGTTTACCGGGGGGTGATGCCCACCCTCCTCATCCCCGCCCGCTACATGCGCCTGGCCCCCGGCGAGCCCGAGGGTCCCCCCGAAGCCGATGGGGGACCCGCTTCGACGGCGGCGACGGCCGCGCCCCCGCCCCCCCCATCCTCCGGGCAGCCCTTCGAGGAAGGGGAAAACTGGGGCGGGGCTCGTGCCCCCCAATCGGTGAGTGGCTCGGTGGCCATCCCGGTGCTGCTGGACGGGTCGGCGGTGGCCCAGCTCAACGGGGAGCTGCAGGCGTTGGCGGGGCAGCAGCTCCTGGAACTGGGGGGGCCGCCACCCCCGAGAGCCTGGTTCGTGTCCCTGGACGGGCGCTCCTCCCAGGTTCGGCATTCCTACATCGACTTGCAGGGCAGCGAGAGGGGCCCCGGCCCCGCGCCCCCTCCCCGCCTCCCCCGGGCCGCCGGAGGAGGGGAGGAGGACGGGGGGCCCCGGCCCCCCCTGCCCGCAGCCTCCCCCGAGGACAGCTCGCTGGCCCCCTTGCTGGAAGCGGGCAGCGGGGGACGGCGAGGCGGGGGCAGCGGGCGCAGCAGCGCCAGCGAAGCCCCTCGAGACTCTCTGACCAGCCCCGAGGAGGAGGCGCTGGCCGAGGCGGGCGACGGGGGGGACGAGGGGGGCGACCGCAAGAGCCCCTGGCAGAAGCGGGAGGAGCGGCCTCTGATGGTCTTCAATGTCAAGTGAGTGTGGGGGGGCGGTCGCTTGGTCCTAGGGTGGGGGGCAAATCCCGGGGGGTGCGGAGATGGTGGGGTCACCGCTGCCATCACCCGTCGCAGCCCACCACTGTTCTGCCCGGCCACTGTCTTCTCCCACCACCGTCCTCTGTCATCACTGCCCCATCGCTGTGCCATCCCACTGCCATCTCATCCCTCCACAATTCCACATAGCCCATCGCTGTCATTCCCATTCCACCCTCCCACCACCCTGTCATTGTCCCATCTTGTACTGCCAAGCCATCACACCATCCTGCCTTGTCACTGTCCTTTCTCACCACCGTCCCAGCCCACCACCGTCCTCTCCTGCCACCATCGTGTCCCTTCACTGTTCCACCCCACCACAATCCCTTTCCACTACCGTCTCATCCCACCACCACGATTCCTTTCTGTCACCAGCCCTCCCACTCGTCTCACGTGTTCCGGCCTCTGTTCCTTGCCCAGCCACTGTCCTGCTAGGGGAGGGGCCAGAGAGACCACACCCAGGCCACCCGTGTCCCCATCTGCTTGGTACCCCCACCCTGTGCCACCAGGCTCTGCCACACGGGATGGTGCTGCCTCTGTCCCCTCCCTGTCCCACCCCAACACCACCACCCACCTCCCTCTTTTGGGGGTGGGAACTCCATGTTCCCCAAATCCTGAGTCATGTCCCCATTTGTGTCCCTGCAGGACAGGGGGGGCTGGCACTGCCCCCCGAGCCAGCGGTGCCTCCAAGCTGCCGTAGGAGTCGGGGGGCCCCTGTCCCCCCACCCTCATCCCTCTTTGGATTTTAACTGTGTTTCTAAACGTTTTCTACGTGGTGAGGATGAAGAGGGGTCATTGGGGCCAGGCTGGCAGAGGAGGGGTCATGGGGACCCCTCCTGGGTGCCAGGCTGGGCAGGGAGCTGCTGCCTGCACCTGCCTGCACGTCCTGCCTGCTCCTTAGAGGCATTAATATATTAAACACACAAAATCCCCCCTGCCTCCGCCTCCTGCCTCAGTTTCCCCCTCGCCAGGAGCCATGGATGGAGTTTCTCCTAGAAACCGTTTATTGGGGTGGTGGCACTCGGGGGATGGTGGTGGTGGTGGTGTCCCCAGTGACATCAAAACAGATCCCAGCGCTGGGGGCTGCACCCCCAGCCCGCCCTGGTGCAGCGGAACCCCGCAGGGCAGCAGTGGCGGCCATCAGAGCAGCAGGAGCCCTGCAGAGAGAGAGGAAATGAGAGGGGGGCTGATGCCACCGCCACCCCCACCCTGGTGTCCCCCCACTCACCTGGGCGAAGGGGCAGCACCCCCAGGAGCCTCCCCGGGCCTGACAGCACTGCTGGCCCCTGTGGCAGGAGCCAGTGGCACCGCAGGGCACGAGGCCACCTGAATGGGTGCCAGTGGCTCGCAGTGGGACAGGGGCTGCCCGGGGGGGGCCTGAGGGGGCCTGGCGTGGGGCTGCGGGGGTTGGCACTAGCGGGGTGGGTGCCAGCAGCTTCTCACAGCTCTCGGTGGCCACGTTGCAGGTGTAGCCTCGGGGACAGCAGTGCTGGTGGTCCCTGCAGCAAACGGCCTGGGGAACACAGCATGAGGTCAGTGGGGGACGTAGGTGTCCGGGGGACACAGGTGTCCAGGTACCAGGGACACAGGTACATCAGGGACCCGGGTACCTGGGTGTACCCAGCAGAGCCCCAGGGACTGTGCCAAACCCTGGGGGGGACTAGTCACAAATGTGGGAGTGGAGCCCTGCTTATCCCCAAAGGGCCACCCCCACTGTCACGCTCTGTCCAAACTCCTCTCCATTACATTCTCAAATCCTCATTCCCCGGGACAATACCCCACCCCCAGGACCCCAAGCCCCAGAGACTCCCCGACACCTGCTCGAGGGGGCAGCACCCCCAGGTGCCCAGGCTCAGCTGACAGCACGTGCTCCCATCAGGACAGCTCGTCTCTTCATCACATTTGACATTCCTCGATGTCACCTGTCCCCCCCGGGGCAGTGCCGGGGTCTTGCGCACCCAGGGCCGGCGGTTGTCCCCCCCCTGCAGGCAGCTGCCCCCCTCGGGGTCGCAGGTGTAGCCCTGGGGGCAGCAGTGCACGTGGTCGGGGCAGCAGACGGCCTGGGGGGCAAAGAGGGGAGGCTGAACACAGAGGACCCCCAGCAACACGGCTGAGGACCTCCAGGGGACAAGTTCCCTCCTGCCTGTTCATTTCCTCCCCTGTTCCATGTTCCCCCTAGACCCAGCCTGGCTCCATCCCCACTTTGACTGGGGCAGATATGGGGACCCCTTTGTGATGCTTCTGCCCCTCTGTGGGACACACGAATGTCCCTGAGCACCCCGGTGGCCTCGTGTGCCTTAGTCACCTCCTGCCACTGGAGCCCCAAACTGGCCCCAGTTAGCAGAGGAGGTCTGATTTGGGTTGGGGGGCAGCAAAGGGGTCCTGTGTCCCATGGGAAAATCAGGGGTTTGGAGCCTACCCTGTCGTTCCTGGAGGACAAGGGACATGTGCCCTCACCCTGCCCAGGAGACAGGGGACATCTGCCCTCATCCTTCAAGCAACAAAGGGGGTCACCTGGCCTTGACTCTCCTGGGGAAAAGGGAACATTGGCCTTTGTACCCTCGGGGGACAGGAGATCCCCAGGCCATGGGGCTGTTGAGGAAGACAGGTAGTCCCTATGCCCTGCTGAACATTCTCATGTCCTCCATCCGGGTGCTCCACTTGGGTCCCTTGAGCCATGTCCCCTCCTCCAAGGACACCCCAGGATCCCCTGGAATCTCTGCTCAGTCCAGGACCCTCCACTCCCACGGGTGCACCCCCCGGGTCCACCACCCTACACAGCCATGGACCCCCATGGCCATGGGCAGAGCCCCCCAAACCTTCTCGAGGGGGCAGCACCCCCAGGTGCCCAGGCTCAGCCGACAGCACGTGCTCCCATCAGGACAGCTCGTCTCTTCATCACAAATGACATTCCTCGATGTCACCTGTCCCCCCCGGGGCAGTGCCGGGGTCTTGCGCACCCAGGGCCGGCGGTTGTCCCCCCCCTGCAGGCAGCTGCCCCCCTCGGGGTCGCAGGTGTAGCCCTGGGGGCAGCAGTGCACGTGGTCGGGGCAGCAGACGGCCTGGGGGACAAAGAGAGGAGGCTGAGCACCCCAGGTCACAGGAGAGGGGACAAATGTGTCCCCTTCTGCTCATTCCTGCCATCTCCATTCCCTGCCCCACTCCAGCAGTGAGGAAGGGGGAATATGGGGACTCCCGCAGCTGGACTCAGGAAGATCCCTGAGCAACGCGGTGGCTTCAGGTCCCTTCACTACCTCCCGCCACTGGAGCCCCAAATTGGTCCCAGTTAGTACAGAGGGTCTGACAGGGGGATGTCAAAGTGACTCAGTGTCACCCCCATCCCTGTGGGACATCAGCGAATGGGAGGCTTCCTGGGGGACACGAGACATCTCCCAGTCCCAGAGGGGCACAGGGGACCCCCATCCTTTTCCCTCCCAAGGCGGACAGGGGACATCAAACTTTGTCCAGGGCAAGAACAAGGAACCCCCACCCTTGTCCTTCTCAGTGGAACAAGACACAGCTGCCCTCATCCCACCCAGGTGGACAGGAAACATCTGCTTGTCCTGGGGGGCACACAGGACCCCCCCATACCTGCTCGAGGGGGCAGCAGCCCCAGGCCCCTGAGCTGAGCCGGCAGCATGTGTTCCCATCGGGACAGCTCGTCTGCTCGTCACACTTGACATCACGAGCTGGGGACAGGGGACAGTCAGGGCTTGTGCCCCCTCCCCGGGACAGGACAGGTGGTGGTTGCTCCCTGGGGAGGGGGGGTCTTACCTTTGGGCAGTGCTGCCAGGGGTGCAGAGCGCCCCAGAGAGGTGCAGGTGGAGTGGACCAGGTCACAGGTGGTGCCCTGGGGACAGCAGTGCTGCCCATCACTACAGCACACAGCCTAGGGGGAGACGCGGGATGACAAGGACCCTAGGACAGGGTGGGACAGAGGAATGCACAGCATAGGGGGCATGGTATGGAGGTGCCCTGGGGACAGCAATGTTGCCCATCACTGCAGGACATGGCTTGGGGAAAGAGATATGGGGTGACAGGAACCATGGGGACAAGGACAGGGTGTGCAGAGCAAGAGGGGCATGGCATAGGGTGGGGTATCCAGGGCCCAGTATCCACCACAGGATGCCCAGCAATGTGTGTCTAGTGTGAGATGACTGCGACAGGGTGCCCAAAAGAGGGTGCCTGGCATCACTGTGGGGTGTTTGGAATCGGGATGTCCAGAATGGGGTGCCTGCATGGACTGGTAGGGGTGAGTGGTGTGTGTTGGGGGTGTGGGGTGCCTGGTTTGGAGTGCCCAGTGAAGGGTGGTTGGTTTGGTGTGCCTGGTGGATGATGGCCAGAATTTGGGTGTCTGGCATGGGATGCTTGGTTTGGGGTGTTCAGTGAGGGGTGGCTGGTTTGGGGTGCTGGGAACAGGAGGTTTGGCAAAGCTGCCCATCCCAGGGTGCTCATGGCTGTGCCAGCACTCACGTTCTGTAGGGGACAGCATCCGTACTGCGTTGGGGACAGCTGGCAGCAGGTTGCCCCATCAGGACATGCTGAGCGGCCATCGGGACACAGCACCTGGTGCAGCGTGACTGAGGGGACACACAGTGTCACCGTGTCGCCTCTGAGGGCACAGCGAGGGCACCCCGAGGGGACACCCCTTACCTGGGGCGGGGGGCTGGCGCTTCCAGGCAGGGAAGGCTGTGCTCAGGGGGACATCAGTGTCACCAGTGGGGGACACACAGCGCCCGTGGGTCAGGTCACAGATGGTGGCATGGGGACAGCAGTGCACCTTGTCAGCGCAGCACGAGGCCTGTGGGTGCCAGCCATGCTCGTCACAGCAGTGGCTATTCCAGGTCCCGCCCTCAGTGTCCCTGTGTCCCCACACCCCATACCTGGGGCATGGGGCAGCACCCCCAAGCGCCGCTGCTTGTCACACAGCACGTGGCATCATCAGGACACTCGGACTGGCCATCAGGACAGGGGACAGCACGGGGGGCTGCGGAGACAGGTCAGGCATCCCCGTGTCCATCCTGTCCCCTTGATGCCCACCTCTGCCCCCCACCCATGCCCTCATACCCAGGTCTGTGACACAGGACTCCCCATCAGCGCTGCAGTGGGATCCTCGGGGACAGCAGTGGTGGCCCCCGGCACAGAGGACACTCTAGGGAGACAGAAAGGGGTGGGAGGGCAGGGGGTCAGGGAGTGCCCCCCAAATGGTACAGAGAACGGGGAGGGCAAAGGGGAGGGAGCTCACCTCTGGCAGCTGGCAGCTGGTGGGGCAGGATGAGCTGTCCTGGCATCCCATTGCACTGTGGGCAGGCACGGCCTGGGAGGGTACAGGGCGGGTTATCGTCCCCTGCTGAGGCCCCCCCAATCCCCCCAAACCCTGCGCACTCACCGGGGTGATGGGGCAGGGTCCTCCATGGGGACAGGGCAGCTGGGCCCCCACGCTAGCCAGGGCCGCCCATAGCAGCAGGAGGGTCTTCATGGCTCTGGGCGCACCTGCGGGACCCCCCGGAACCGCCCAGCCTCAGTTTCCCTTCCCACTGAGTGGGCGGGCACCTCTGCCCCCCATATCTCACTTCTCCTTTAAGCCATGTGTTGGGAAAGTCCCAGCCCCCCACTTTACCCAGCTCCCCACTTTACTCAGCTCCCTCACCCTGGGGTGCTGGGGGACAACTCGGGGTGCTGGGGTTACCCCACAAAAAGCGGGAGGGACACTGCGGTATGTGGCACCCCAACCGCACCCCGATAACATCTCCCTGCGGCGCCGGACGGGGCCCCCCCGCCGCTCCCCCTCCCATGCCACTTCCACAATCACTTTCACTTCCCTTTCCCCGCTGCTGACACCTCCCGCCCCGCCCAGGGCTGTTACGGGGGGGGTGTGTCCCATGGGGGGGCTCTGCTCCCCTCACTGCCGGAATGGCTCGGGGGGACCCCGGTGTCACTGCAATCCCCCACCCCTGAGACCCCCCAGGGCAGGACTCGGCTCTACCCCGCGACAGCCCCCAGCACCAGTGTTCCCAGTGCTCGCAGCATACCTCCCAGTAGGGACTCCCAGTGTTCCCCCATGACTCCTAGCATCTCCCAGGGGATCCCAGTGCTCCCCATGACTTTCAGTATCTCCCAGTGGACCCCGTGACTCCCAGTTTCTCCCAGTTTCTCCCAGTTCCTCCCAATGCTCCCAGCACCTCCTAGTCGTCCGTATGACTCCCTTGTCCGTATCACTCCAGTACCTCCCAGTGGCCCCCGTGACTCCCAGTTCCTCCCGTGACTCCCAGTTCCTCCCGTGACTCCCAGTACCTCCCAGTGGCTCCCAGCACCTCCCAGTGGCTCCCAGTACCTCCCAGCTATGCCCGTGTCTCCCAGTGCTCCCAGTCCGTCCGAGTCACCCCGTGACCCCCGGTACTTCCCAGTACCCACCAGCGCTCCCAGTTCCCTCTCCCGGTCCCGGCCGCAAGCCCCCCCGTCCCACTGGCCTGAAGCCCCGCCCCCACCTCCCATTGGCCGCCCTCCGCGCCCGCCGCGCCCCCATTGGCCAGTCGGGGGTGAGGGGGCGGGCACAGCGACCGCCTCGCCTCATCACG